TTATTTTGTCCAAATGTTAAGACTTGAAAGTGAAAGTACATTGCAAATGGCGAATTCTAGAGGGGCCTTGTCTTTATACATGTCATGCTTTCAATAACAGCCTTTCAGAGACCATTCACGTCCAACTTGCCCTTCAATGATAAACATATATTATTTCTACAATGTTGGTTTTTACAAAAAGGATGGAATTAAGCAGGTGCATTTTTCTTAAAATATGCACATTTTTTGATACAATTTTTCTCAAAAAATATCTTTATAAAATATTTGTTATCCAGTGATACTTTCTATCTATTAATCAATGATATATTTATAATCTGTAATCGTTTTGACTTTATACCACACATAGTTTTAGAGCTATTGTGAAATTTTTTTAAACATGTTGACCATTGACGAAACCTAAAAAGTTATGGCTCATCTTATTCCCCTAAATTCTTTGGTTGTTATGTTACCATTTAAGCCTTTCTCAAAGGCATGTCAATGGTTGGAATAAATTACTCATATATGATCTTTTCCATTGGTATAAATTTCTATTTTTATTTGTATTGTATTTGTATTGTATTTATTTAATTGTATAGTATGATATTTCTTTGTATTTTGTAATTTTCCATTTGAATTTTAAAAATTTTCCATTTGAATTCTAGAATTTTCCGTTTGAATATATAATTTTCCATTTGGTTCGATTTTTATCTACATCTGTATTGTAGAAAAACTCATTTGAGTCGTAAAAGTTTTCATGTCCATTCTATATTTTCAGTTTGAATTGTATAATTTCTTACCATATAAATGGAAAATTACAGAATGCAAATAAAAGTTCTACAATGCAAATGAAATATTATACTATGCAGATGGAAAACAATAGATTACAAATAAAAATTTTACAATACAAATGGAAAAGATAAAATATTGCATCGTTTGAAATGCTATATTTCTCTTGTTAAATGTTCATTAAAAAACAGATGTGTCAGAACTTGTGGTATTTTTAATTTCAAGCTCACTGGGATATATCTAGCCCACAAACGAATGAAAATAACTATTGTTCATAGCTAATACGCCGCAAATATTATATCTGAATGTCAAGTTAAAGGATACAAGTGTTTTCTTTTTTTGATGTATAAGATTTCATGTTCATACTCTACGTATGAGCAAGATGATGAAACAAGAATATCAAGTCTCGTTTAAAGTCATCATTTCGTAAATTCTATGGTCGATACAATGACCTTGTCAGCATATACAATATAATTATCATTGAGACAGATGCTGACAGACGTTTTTCACACTAATTGTTAGTCCATTATTTATACACTGAATTGACGACGTATTTTCCCATTATTTCCCGATCATGACAAGGAGCACACGGTGGATATAACCGGTCATCAGGGGATGTTCACTCCTCCATGGCACCTGATCCAACCTCTGATATTTCGGAGAGGTCCGTGTTTGCTCTGCTCCTATTTTGTACTGTTTAATGGACTTTGATATTGAATACTGTTCGTTATCTCCATATCCTTCTTTTAATAAATTCTGCTTCATACGAATACGATAAGTCTGCCAATATAACGGATATCCATGGAAATTCCATCTCAACCGATTGTTGGAAAAAAAAAATATAAAGATATTGTCAAAAATCTAATAAACAAAACAAACATGTATGTGAACATGGTATAAAATGGAGCCCTGGAAATCCCAGTGGAATCAGGTGCCTAATAGGAGTGAGCATCCCGTTTTGATCTGTCACACCTGCAGTGAGTCCTATGTATTGACCAGGTAGACAGAACATTCATAATCGGAATCAGTAAAAACACAGTGTAAACAAACATTATTTAATTAAACAAAACAGACACTAATAAATTATTTAGATCTTCTCAGTATATTTTTATACCGTAACAATGTTTGCAAAGATTGTTGGAAAACTGTCTGCATTGAGCCCCAGGTTACACAAAAAAGACTGGGAACTAATAGAGAATGTGTTGGAGGGTAAACGGTTTATCATCTGATCAAAGTCATCTATCTGGTCGTCACCAGTCCACCTACAAAGGATAGAATGAATTAATGCATCGGTAATCATTCAACTTTACTATAAAACATCAAAATATTGAATTAAGTTTTACTCAGTTCAATACAAAATTGCTCTTAGTTTCAAATTATTTTTAAGTCCGGTTGTTATTGTTACTAGTATTCAAAAACTTTACCATGCAAATGCAAAATTATAGAATACAAATAAAAATTATACAATACAAATATATATTCAGTTTCAATACTATGTTTGATATGAAAAAAGATTCAGTAATGTATCTTTAAGAGCCATCCACCTGGTCTTATCCAGTACACACGGCCTTTGAGTCTTTTTAAAATTATTGTAAACGATTAATTACTCATTCAAGCAATTTGCCTGCTACATGCACATGAGTAAAACCATTTTTCAAATTTTGTAATTAATTTAACTTCACTTAATTCGAGTTTACTTTAAGTACATTGACCATGAACCCATGCTAACAAAACCGAGCATTAGGTGTAAGTCATAACCGCAGGATCCTCAAAATTCACCAGATGGTATAAGGCTTGCCCAGAACAAAACTGTAAGTTGAATATACAAGTACCATCCTTTACTCTAAACGCTAAATCAAGATGTACTTGCTTATATTAATCAACACTTTGACTGCTTAAAATCAGGAATCTGTCCTCCATTTTTGAGCTATAGAATAAATACAAAATTTTTATTGTAATCGGAAGGAATCACACGGTGTCTAGACGTGATGCTATTCAGAACTGTTTATTTGATGAATAATAACGTATATATTTGTCTAATGAGATTTAAAATTCAAATAAATTTACAATTATAGTTGTATTAGTCAGTGCAGTATACAAACAACACAGATAAACGTAACTGCAATAAAATATAAACAAAGGTAATGCAAGATAACCACCACGAACACGGGTCGCCATTCCACGCCAATACAACAATAAAAATGGTAAAATTGTGTATTGATGTATTGTAGCGGAATGCTATCGAAAATATCGTGTTCTCAAAATTATAATAGAACACTTTGACTGCTTAAAATCAGGAGTAGACCGATTTTTGAGATAAATAAATACTCAATTTTTATTTAAGGAAGGATTCTTCACTGGTTTCTAAGTAGATGAAATATACAATGTTTATTTGATGATATGTCATATATTTAGGTGAAAGAGATTTAAAATTACAAATATTTACCAAGTCTATTTCATTTTCCAGTTCTTAGGAGAAAAAAAAATTAAGAATTATCCACTTTTCTTAAATTGTGGCATGATATTAAGTCTCCTCCAAAAAAAAAAAACAAATTGTATGTACCATCTGTCCTTAAATAAAAATGGTAAATTGTGTTCAAAAAATAGCAGGACTATATTTTTGGCGGAATGGTGGCATATGAAAATATCTTCTTTTCCGTCTCTCAAAATTATTATAGAACAACAAATTTAGTTATAATCTTTACACAATCAAAGACTTGAAGAATGTTTCAAATGTTAGCTTAATTAATAATAAGGGACTAAAGTATTAAAATATATCAAATAAAGATGAGTTTCCAGACAAACTACAATTATGTTAGCTTTTAAAGACTTCCAATCTAAGCACAGATATGAGCCAAAAATCCATAGAAAGTGTTTTTACTCTTTTAGTAAACGGTCCAAACCTTTCGTTTTTGTATCATTTTGAATCTCTATATGACTTCTTTACCATATGTGCAAATAAAAAAAATTAAATATAGTGCGTTTATAAAAATAACTTAAATATTCTAAAAAATTAAGAAAAATAGAGAAAATTCGGATAAGTCAAAATCCATTTGTGTCAATTTGGTAATATCATCTTATAGACCCTATATGACAATATCTTTTTATGCAAAAAGAAAAAAAAATTTGTATCTTTTATATATATATATGGTATATATATATATATATAGTATTTTTATTATTATGTGCATATATATATATATATATGACCTTGACATGACCTCAACTCTGATATAAAACGGTCAAAATTAATCTAAGTGATATAATCACTTAGTAATATTGTCTTCTTGATTCTGTGCAAATTTCATTAATTTTCAAATACAAGAAACATAGTTTTGTTTGAGAAAAATTCTTACCTTAAGCATTAATTTTATTGTAAAGTTGAACAAGGGGACTCAGAAAGACTGATTGTATCGATTGCTATGTCACTTCTGTAACTTATATATATATATATATATATATATATATATATATATATATATATATATATATTTATATATGACATTTATTTACAATCTTCAATGATAAATCCTCTGTTTGGAAAATTTGGAAAAGAGCATTGGACCTGATTTTTTACATGAACTCATAAATATCACATCCTTAATTTTTGTTCATCCCCTTTTTTTTAATAATGATTAAGAACTTGTTAACTAAAAGATAGTTCGTCATTTACTGATATTGGATACTTTAGTACATTCTTTTAATTTTATATTTATCATTAATATAAATTTTCATATTTCCTTGCGAATGGGACCCGGGTATTAATTTTCTAGAGACATATATGACGATAAAATTTAAAATTGGTGTACTTAATTTTCTTTTTTTTTTTTTTTTTTTTTTTTTTACAATTTTATATGCTCCTTTTGTAAACTATATTGTGTACTTGCATTTTGCATATATTTGAAATATCTTCGAAAAGAAAAGGAAGGAAATTGTTTTAAACATGTACAATCTTATCGGAAATTTCAACCTCCCTCCCCCTGTTTTTTTCCAGATGTTTTCAAAATATGTATTTCTCCAAAAAAAATATTTTAGGTACAACCATCAAGTAAATTTCAAACAAAAATTTGCGAAGATTCTCATGTTAATGGTAATCTGTAATTCAAGGAACACTCTTGAGTAAAACAGAAAACAGTAGATAAATCACTTAAGTAAAATGCAATAACGGAGCCCATTCATTTAGTAGTACATATACATGACTGTATATTGAGCTAATGTTTATCAACAAAGATGACAGCGAAAACTCTGTGTTATAATAATATTTCAGCGTACAGAAAAGGAGATAATAAAAATGATAAAAGAGAGCCTACCACGAGGTCATTTTCCGCCGGGATTTCCACCTCTACTGTAGTCCACACATCTCCTTGATTTCCGGACAGACTCCAGATCTCGGACTCCGAGCCTCGGTTTCCAGCGAACACGCGCAAGGTCCCCATACCGGAAGCCCCCATACCATACATGTTGTAGGAGAATCGAAGACATCGGGGGCCTAATGGTTTCAAAGGAACATACATATAAAAAAAGTTTTTAAATATGAAAAGGAATGGATTTCACTCAAGATTGCGCCCTTAATTATTTCAATATTTTCCTTCGTTCATATGCTTTATCTTCCGGCAAAAAATATTTATCTATGATGCATTTTATGTAAAATTATAACATAAATAGTACTACGTTATATAATAAATGTCAATGATAATATTTTACAAAGAATCAGGGGGGATTAGAGGAGTCATATGCCCACACGGATTTTGTCGCTCTGTAAGCATATCGAAAATTTCATTGTCGCACGATTTACCTAGACATTTAAACTTTTTACAGCACTGTCCAAATGACAATATCTATATTTCTAAATCTTGCAGTTGTCGTTAAAGTGTTTTTTTTAACATGTGATGCTTTTCAGACTGCGTGTTACTTGTTCTATCAAATATGTTTTCAGGGATTGGGAGATGGTACGCGTTACCTTTCCTTTTAACTGTTGTTGCATACAGAACATCTATATCGTGCTGGTCTACCCATGATTGTTTACATTTCAATCGTGTAATGTGGTGTTGAACTGAATGCATTCAAATGTTAAATATCTTGAAAACTTGTTTATTATAGGAAATATATTAATTGACCGTAAATAAATTCATGACCTTATTTATTCATTTTGTTTTAGTGAAAAAATATATTTATCTATAAATTTCAACCTGAACTTTAAAAAAAATCGTGATTCGAACACTCACGACAAGCAACTGGTGCTTCAACACCGCCGCTATGACCACTGAGCCACGAAGACGCACATATTTTTTTGAAAATGGTGAGAGATTATTAGTTACACAGTCAGTTAGTGACCTAATACGGATTCATACAGGGTGTGAAATGGAAATCCGAAAAGCCACAATTAACCAACAAAAAGTGTACAAAATGGTGAGAGATTATACTTTGAAATAGACATAAAAAATTCAAACTAGTCAGTCTTCATGAAAATGTAACTAAAATCCAGCATCTGAAGCAAATTTGAGGTGTGAAATGGAAATCCGTATTGGGCGAGGCGAAGCCGAGTCCCAATACGGATTTCCATTTCACACCCTGTATGAATCCGTATTAGGTCACAAACTGACTGTGTAACGAATTTATCCCGCTGAAGACTTTCTTCAATATAAAAAAAATATTTGGCATATTATGATTGATTGTATACTGTTTAACGTCTCTCTCCAGAATATTTCACTGATATGGAGACGTCACCATTGCCGGTGATGGGCTGCAAATTTAGGCCTATGCTCGGCACTTACGGCCTTTGAGCAGGGAGGGATCTTTATCGTGCCACACCTGCTGTGACACGGGGCCTCGGTTTATACGGTCTAATCCGAAGGACCGCCCCATTTAGTCGCCTTTTACGACAAGCAAGTTGTACTGAGGACCTATTCTAACCCGGATCCCCACGGGATTTGGCATATTATGAAAATATTAAGTTTTAATCCAATAACAATCGACATAAATATCGTTACGGTAACAAGAAAATTAACTAAACTACCTACGAAAACCGTTTCTTAGCCGCCATTTTTATATACAATAACAACGCTTCGAACGGAATCGCGTGCCCAATTTTCATATTACGCTTCGACGGAGACGTAATACGGAAAATTTCAGGGCGTCATGTGATTAGTTTTTATCCAATCAGTAAACGACAAATTTGTCTGAAGCGGGATAAACATCCTTCCATACCCTTTCAATATTTGTTTACAAAAAATGTTACGAAGACCCACTCTGTAAAAAAGACAGTTTTAACATTCCATTTCTATCATTTTTACGGTTACTAAAGCGTGTTACCATTTTGGTAAAATCAATTTCTAAGTCATTTGATTCAGGTTTTGTCTATACTGTATGCATATGGTTATAAATAACTCCCAAATTTAACAATTAGTGGAATTTGTAAGAATTTTTTAATTGATATTTTACCTGCCCTTGCGTAGGCATATGACTCGCCTAATCCCCCCAGATTCATTTTCTTTACGTTAACATTTAACAACCTTATTCATATTCTAAGTACTTAAGCACATTCTATTGCTGTCTAGCACATAAACTTACATGTACTTTAACCTTTGTTATATAACACATCTTGGGACAGTTTACGCTTTATAAACCATTAAGCGGTTTATAAAAATAAGCTTCATTCCATATAATTTTCTCCAACTTTCTTTAAAGTCTGACCGTGATCAAGAGGTCGTGAGTTCGAATCTCGGCCGTCACTGACTTAAGTCGATAAAAAATAAGTAGCAACTGTTCCTTCGCCATGTGATCGGCACTTGAAGTGAAAATTGCGGGCCCTTAAGATGAGACCTTTTAACCCTTGATCCCGTGTCACGGCAGGCAGTGGCACGATCAAGATCCCTAGCTCACTGTCTCAATGGCCCTGAGGGCTGAGTAAAGGTGATACAATGTAATTTGAAGCCCTTCACCGGTATGTGGTGACGTCTGTACAGGAGTGCTGAGTAAAGGTGATACAATGTAATTTGAAGCCCTTCACCGGTATGTGGTGAGGTCTGTACAGGAGTGAAAATTATCGAATGGGACTTAAAACAACATACAATCAATCAGTCTAAAGTCTGAAGTCCATGTAAACACTCCTTGCGCGCTTACGTTTGCAATCAAGTGATTTACATACTAGTATTATAATCAAATGATACATGCTTTACAATTCAGAAGAAATACACTCACCAACATCGGGAATGGACGTTGTTTCAGATGTTAGTATAGCATTATTGCCGCTTCTCCTCCTGGTAGCTTCAATGTATGCATACGGCCCATCCAGTGGACGTCCTGGGCCTGTTCCACTACTTGGGGTGTATCCCTGTAGCATGGAAAGAAAGGTTTGAAAAGGAATTCGCTTTTATGCACATCAAAGCATGCAATATTTCGAAAATTGGTAAAATCGGCAGTTACATGTTAAACTTACAGCCGCTGTCTGAATCTTGCATAAACTTACTCTTGTTAACTGAAATGTGTTAAGGATAAATAACACTAATTTTTTTTTTTCAGAAATCTGTAATATCTCTCGCAGATTATCATTCCTATTGGTAACCTGAATAATGTTTACAAAGTATAGTTGGAGAATTGTTACAAGATTTTGTCATAAGGTTAAAACTTTGCGAAAAATTTAGTATGGAATTAAATAGAGAGCAAAACAAAGTCTCATATCTAAGCACCAAGGAACACCAACGATTTCTTTATATTTCAGGGATTTATTATTTATGTCATTTCAAATCAAAATCAGTCAAAATATATATACCAATCCATGCATCCATTTTTTGTTTGTGTTAAGTACTCTTAAAATATTCTAAAATAAAGTTTTTTTCTCCTTATCAACACTATCTATTCTTTATTTTTATTGCATGTAAAAGAACGGGGGTACATTTGAATGACGTTTAAAGAGGATCATAGGAGAACTTCAAAAGTGAAATTAACTGAGAATACATGAATATATAGGGTTCCTATAAAATAGAAAAGGAAATATTTTTCTAAATGTGTTTTGATATAATGGAATTTTTATAAAATGTCTTCCTCGGCTACTTAGAACAGGTTTAATTTCCGCCAATGTTTAACTAATGGTTAAATTTTATCTTCTTTATTTGATACCAACTTTCCATGACTTTTCAAGGCAACAGTTAGCGCTGTATTTTACTTTTATTTCCTCAAAGTTCTAGTCAGTATTAGTATGAACTCATATTGAGATGAACAATAATAAATTAAGCAGTTCATGCTGATTGGTGATAGGTATAGCATCAAACTTCGAAGTCTAGAAATTATTTATATTCAAAAGAATTGCAGAGATCAAAATAGGAGTGGAATAATTTGTCACAGAAATGAAGTTTCGTTGAAAGAAAAAGGCCCAGTCTGGGAAAAGTGACTGTCGTGGAAAGGAAAACTGGAAAGAAAACCTAGGGCAAAATAGAGAAAATAACTACTGTATTACTGAGGATCATGATTGTTTTAAAATCCTATTATTTGAATAGCGATGGTAGGTCAGTGGTATGTATGAGATATAAAAGTCATTAAGAATCTAAAAGATTTAGGCTTAATCCTTGCAAGGAATTTGTATGCTTATTTATTTATATTGAAACAATCAAGATGATTGTCGGTTTATAAATTTCAACCGATTGAAATTATAAAAAAAGTAAAATATTGCTTCAGTTGCACCCAGCGTGACAAGTCTCCCAGCCTACGGTACCATACCTCCTCTATAGCACCTGATCACATTTCTGATGTTTTCTCACATTTGCGTTTGCTCTGCTTTTGATTAGCATTGTTTCAATGTACCTTTGATCAGTGTTCATTTTCATATTTCATTGTATGTTCATATATTTTTATATTTCATTGTATGTTAATATATTTTTATATTTCATTGTATGTTCATATATTTTTATATTTCATTGTATGCTCATATATTTTTATATTTCATTGTATGTTCATATATTTTTATATTTCAGATGTTTTTTTCCCTCCAATTTGCATAACATATGTAATATAAAACGAGCGGAACTGCATGATTACATGTAGTTAAAAGAGGTTGTTTACAAAAGTTGGCAATGAATAAATTACGTTGAAAACAATAGTTTGAATTTTAAAAAAATGTTAATTTATTATTATTATATTTGAATACTCACCTTTGTTACTATCCAATCCATAGTATCTGAATTTGTGACGTTTTTCAAGAAGCATGGGTTGTCATCAAAGGTGCAGCTAAGCGCATTGTCCCCTAAGAAAATAACCTTATATCTTAGACCGTGTTATTGACTGAATACTTTTTTTAAGTGAATGTTTGTATAAGAAAACACTTTAAAGTCAGTAATTAACATGGTTAAAATATTCAGTCAAGCTGTGGACCTCGGGTAATTGTCGACAAGAGGTCGAGTATTTTTATAATTATATTCCACTTTTGTACCAATTACATAACTGTTATAAAGGGTTTAATCTTCCTTTAAAATTTCACACAATATTCTTAAAGATATGTATGCCGTATTTTTGCACAGCTGAAACCAAACAAAAATTTCTGAAGTATGATAAATTATCAAAAATAGTATTCTCTCAAATTCAAAAATTATTCCTATTAATGACAGTTTTACCGGAAAAGTTTCACACATATTCACATGCATATTTATAAAGGACACGTTTCAAACCGCTCCCGAGGCTGTATCCATACAAGTCCCTCCATTCAAACAAGTGACGGTATCACAACCTAAAAAAAATCTCAGAGATGTCACACTCGGTCAAATGCACATAGGTTTCATGGTCATCTGATTACTTCTCCAAGCTTTTCAGGATAGGATGTTGTAAATTTTGTATTTACTACCACCCGATAAATTTAAAATTTACATGACACATGTTATAGCTATGTAAAGTCAATGTCTAGTTTTTTTTTTTAAAATCGCTCTCAGAAAGACGTGTTACATTTCCCAAGCATTTACACGCTTAATGCATTATGTACATTATCATCTAAAATCCCATGCTAAGATTTGCACACAAATGAACAATGCTAAAAATAAGAGTTGCCACACTCTATTGTACAGGTCCGTTTGTTTACAATTTCCCCGTGCTCTACCGACAGTGAAAAGACAATTTCACGTGACTATATCGGTACAAAAAGCAACTAACTCTGAGGTGTGCTCACGTATTGACAATGTTTACAATGTGTACAACTTCGAAACATACGGCATGCTAACAAGAAAAACTGCATTTGTTTGTTAATGTGAGCATGGGAATTCTCAATTAGTAACTATCCTTCCTATTTTTCTAAAACAGGTTTTAAAGAAAATGTAAATTGGCTTTCCTGCCGTCAATTGAACTCGCACCGTACAATTCCCTAACCCACGTGTTTGTAGTGAAAACGTAGTAGACCATCATGCTTTTCGGCTCATTCACGAGATTGGACCATTGTTTGCTGTGAGCAAATACGTGTTCATGAATATTTCAATAAGAGGCGGTTTAATATCCGATTCGGAGAGAAAATAATTTTTACAAAATAATATTTCATAACTTTTAAAAGTGATGGAGTGGAATTGTCTTAATTGCAGAAATTACATAACTTATCTAACTTGATGAGACACCACACATATTTATTTCTTTAGCAATAAAACACTAATACGGCATATATATCTTTAATAATTAAGTTTCATTATTGTATCGTTGAATTAGTTTGAAAAAATAGCCGTTAATAGATCGTAATACTCAGTAAATTATCAAATAATAGTATTTTGCCCAGTTCAAAAATTGCCTAAATGACAGGGTTTTACCGAATGTTTCACACAGATTCCCTGAGTATATTGGTGGACACTGACAAAACGCTCCCGAGGCTGTATCCATACAAGTCCCTCCATTCAAACAAGTGACGGTATCACAACCTAAAAAAAAATCTCCGAGATGTCAAACTCAGTCAAATGCACATAGGCTTCATGGTCATCTGATCACCTCTCCAAGCTTTTCAGAATAGGGTCATTTTAGCCACACCAAAACAAGATACATGTGAAATAGTTACTATAAGGTAAGGAACTTTCTCATAACCGTTATCATATTTATTCATAAGATTGTCCCTATGATGTTCAGGACTAAAACAACAATCATTAGAATAAAAGTAATAGAGTAGAAGGTTTGCATGTTATAAATTTCAATGAAACATTTTGAGATTTATATAAATGTAACCCTTTCATGAGATCAATCCATTAATATATTGAATTAATAAAAAGCATATTGACCAAGCATGAAGATGTTATATCTATGCAAAGTCAACGCTTTTCGCGTTTTTAAGAATATTTCCAATCTTAAAAACATAACGTCGATATACATTTCAGAATCTTAAAATAGTAACACAAGTCGAAATGCTGTTATATATTTGATCATGTTATTAGGTTTCACCGATCAGAGAGATTGGAAAAATGACCCACCTCTGAAAATTACTAGGGATTAGTTTTTATACACCCCCTAAAGATTTGTTTTGTTTAAAGATTTTTTTGTATTAATCACTGTGTTATTGTCACCTTTTTCAATTAATAAATGAAGATAATTGTCTGTAATAATTTTTTTTCCTATGCGGACCCAGAAAAGGACTACAGGGTCCGAGGAATCTGGGTCTGGCCTCCCATCTGTTCCAATTTATTGTCATAAATTTATTTACAAATTTAATGACTATAAATTCGAAAGAATGGGATATGGACCCAGGTCACTCCTCTATTCCTTTGAATTTATATTCATTAAATTTATTTACAGTAATGTAGAATTGACTTGAGATTCGTCAATTTGTCGTTTGAAGCAAACAACACTTAACAGTAGTTCTTCTATAAACAAAACGTAAAATTGGCATATATTAATGATACAATGTTTAATCTTCTGACTACTACTGTAAATGATTATTTGTACAGAAATAAATACAAACAATGTAATTTAATATTTGCTTGTTATATTGAAATTAATGTTGCAAGTAATGCATAAATAATTGATACATAAATTGACCATATGGGTGGTGTTTTTTTTCGTCAACAACTACAACGTCTTAATAATCAAAGGAAGCGAAGTATTTTATTCTTTTAAGTTATCTATTTAAACGTGTTTGTCGAAATAAAAAACTGAATCCGATGCAAAAAGAAATGTTTTAGTGTACTTTGGATAAATAACAAGTTATCTGGATATCGAACTAAAACTTTAAAAGTTGCGTCAGGAAAGAATGTCAAAGATTTTTTTGATTTAGTAACTATAGCAACACAATAAGATCAAAACAGATAAAAATTTAATATTTACATAAGCAATGATAAATGTAGAAGCATTTTAAAAAATGTATTTTTTACAGAAGAAACAGACGGACAGACAATTGTCTACCTCTTCATGTCTCTGACCAGAAGAGATTAAAACATGAGGCTACACACCACGCCCCTAGAAGGAAAGTAATTACAAAATATTAAGAAAAATAAGGTACCGTACCACATCGTCCGGGAACGTATCTAATATTATCTATTGCTATATCTGACTTGTAATTCCCTCCTCTTGTAGCTTCAATCATAATCTAAAAATAGAGGAGAAAACTTAAGCTAAATCTCGAGCTAAAGCCTTTTGTCCTACCTAGAAGTATCACTCCCAAAACCAAAAAGGTACAAAATATTTTAAATTATTTCTATTTTCTATTCTTTACTGCAATATCTTTCCTTTTAAAAAGTTAGAAAAATCAACTGTATTGCACTGACCGTATCGTTAGAATCATGATAAACATCGATTGTAGCCACTTTCCAGTCACTTCCTGAAGAGCTCTGTTCACCAGTCTTAGAAAAAATTTCCATAGAATACAGAGAGTGCTGCATGACTCTCAGTTCACCCGTACCTGCCCCGTACATATTGTATTGGAAAGTTAGACACCTTTCTCCGCCTATAATTATAAAACACAAGTAAAAAGTTTCATAGATAACATATGCATGAATTATATTTTGGTACATGTTTCGAAATCCATTTTTTTGGAGTTGAACCTCAATATTGCTACAGGAGTATTCAATTATAAGCAAGGTTAAAGTAAGTTGTACTGACTTTCAAATTGGTTTTTAGTCATCAATGCCGCCATGTTGCCTCTCCTACGTCTCGTGGCCTCAATGTATGCATATTTATTACCCTGTATGGCAGAATCAGGCCCTGTGCCGCTACTTGGTGTTTTCCCCTATGAATTTAGGGTGTTTATTCAGTTCAAATACTTATATCTTCTTACATCTCTAATTTCATTTTAATACCATGCAATAATTAGGTGACACGGTGACACAGTATAAAAGAAAAAATACCTGCACTGTTTTCAAAGTTTGAAAAGGTGAATTTCATAATTTAGACAACTTAAAATTATGATCTTCATCGTTGAATTTGATTCTTTGAAATCAAACTTAAATGCAACATTAATATTGTTATAACAGAAATTTTTACAAGAACCCATGAAGCCCATGAGCCACAATGCTTTGTTTTAACTTTTGTAAAAAAAAAAAAAAAATATGGCAAAGTATTAACGATGAAAAAAACACAAACATACATTAAAGTACTGTATGGGAAACAAATATGGGAAACAAGTGTAATTTTAATTTAAAAAAAAACAACAAACACACATAAATATTGTATGGGAAACAAGTATGGGAAACAAGCGTAACTCTAGTTGAAGGGGTTTGAGGTTGACTTGACTGGTTATCCGATAGTCGATACAGGAGCAGGACATCATGGGCCTACGTGAAGACCGCTGGTAAACAATTTGATCAGTTATGAATTAGGTTTGTGATCGGGATTGTGAAATTGACTAAAAAGAATTTGCTCTGCAATCTTTTGGAAATACAATTAACTAATTATAAATAAAGAAAAAAATTCTGTTGCAATTTGTTTGAGGTTTATGACAGTTTGACTGGGCTACTTGTATTTGAGATGTATAACTTGGTAACTAAAAAAAACTTTATGCAGAAACGATTAAATCCTTAAATTAATTTTATTTCGAGGCATAGTTTCCAGAACAAATTCACAAAAACTACGAGCTACATGTAGGTTTTGACATCGCCAGTGTTACGCCGATACATGTAGCTGAATTTTAGGATTCGTTAAAACCGAGAGGAACATGTTATTTATAGAGATATTTCATTTAACTTTTAGGGCCTTATTCAAAAAATGTTGGTCATGATGTATGCCGATTTTCAACTTCATAGTCTTATTAAAACAAAAGCGTTTTTCTGGGACAACTCAGGTTGTACTAGGATTGTTCGTTTTTATTTGATGTCTTATGTTATCCAAATTAATTTGGTAGAAATATTCTAACAATAAATCCAAAAATGATTTGTATTAATTTTTTTTTTTAAAAATAGAACGATTTATAAAAAAAAATTATCAAGATTTTAAAGATACAAAAAAAAAATCGGATCGCGGAACAGATAAAAAAAATAGTAAGTTACAAACAATACACTACATAATGTTTGTTGTCATATTCTATGTAAAGTGGAGAAAAATCAAATTAAAGCTGAACACTTCTCATAAATAGTGTGTTTGATTTGTGTCTGAACCAATCTACTTTGTTTTCTGGACTCCCGATTAATAACTTTTCATTGCCGACATGTAGTACCCATTTCATGGTCTTAGATTTTTTGCGTTTATTCCTTGTTTTATGTGGATTTTTTTGTTTGTAAATAATGTGTTGACCTGTATTTTTCATGATACCTTTGTCCTGTTCTGGAAAAAACACGTAAAATTTGAAAAATTTCATCGCGACAAAGTAGCACGGCAAATAAGCGATCTGTTCATTATATAGGAGTTGTAGGGAGAGCGTTGAAGAACGGGAAATATGGCAGACTACGCCTTTTTTACAACTTGATAGTGTTCAGCTTTAAGAATTATTACATCGATTCGTATTCCAAATTATGGCTTAATATTTTGCTTTTTTGAAAAGAAATCAACTTAAGAAGATTGGTAGTGGCTGTCCTTAATTGTTACTGTCAACAGAAAAATGACGTTTTAGAACGTCACTGAGCTTTAGATAACGATGCATTTTTGTGGTTTACTTTTAATAGGAAAAATCCTGAATAATTATAATGTTGGAGGAATCAAAAATAAATATGTCACAAGCGAGTTGTGCAAGTGAGTACAAATAGTACAGGTAGTATTGGAGTGGCAGAGACTGTACCGGATGAGGACAATCTGTTAAAAAACGGTTCAATTGTTAAAATTCTGAACAAAAAAAAATTGGAAAGAAAGAGGTGCTTAAATTATCCTGTCTGCCTGTAGAAATTCTTGATGCTATATGTTTTGATGTTACATTTCCATTGAGTGTGCTCCTCGGTTACAAAAAAAAATATTGATTTTAAAATGGAAGTAAATTGATTTATGTTAAATCAAATGGAATGAAACTTCACGCATCAACGGAACAAATATTTTCACATATTATATTATGCTTACTAGTATTTTAAATTTCTAGTGAGTGTCTGATATAACGAAGATTGACATCGTCCACGAACTTTTAAAACAATCCTCGAATATGTCATTTCTTAGCCATATTGTGTTTTATCAGTTAAGAATAAAATAATGCAATCTTGAACACTCACAGACTTTGTGGTCCAATCAAAATCGTCCCATTTTACGTTTTCTAGGAAACAGTTCTCTCCATCCTCAAATGTGCACTCTACTGGACCAACAGCTGGATATACAAAATATTGTATTAGTTGCATTGTTACAGTAGTGCATTACTAGATCACACGCATGTCAGTCTCTCTATCTCCTTACTCAATCATATAAAATGAATGAACGTATGAATTTAAAGATAGTATCATTACTAATTAAAAAAGAATGAAATTTTACAATTTTGGCAATTAAGTTAACATTGCGAGGATACAGAATTTTAACTTGAAAAGATAAAGAATATTGAAACAGTTTTGAGCCCCCCTGCCCCCTCATTCATGTGCTATCATATTTCTCGTTTTACTCCAGTTTTTAAGCGTATTTCCCATTTTTTTAGTTACAAAAGTGAAGTACAATGTATGTGTAATTAAATAGCTCCCTTAAAATTTTGAGAAATATGACTTTTTTCCTAATGACAGCAAATAAACTTTCAACCTCGTCTTTTCATTAGCAAACACGTACTGAAAACATACCGTTTCTGAGAAAAAAAAAGTTCAAGAGTAAGAAGACACGGTTTTGGCTTTATTGTGCCCTAAAAATGTACGTTTAAAAAAGTTATGAAATTGGCTTAAACAATAGTTCAGCAGATGAGTATGATAAATCATTAAAATATGGAAAAGATTTTGAAGGAGGACCATTATCCCTTCATTCATGTGCTTAATTTGGTACATTTCTTAGTTTCATACAGAAAAGCAGTTTTTGGGTGACTATTTCTGTGCTTATACTCCTTTAGACAAATTTTTAAGCACATTTCTCATGTAGCCCACTGTACAAAATATTTTGATATCTTTCTTAAAATTTTGAAAAAAATATAAATTTTATTTGTCTCATGACAGCAAATAAACTTTTCGACCTTGTCTTTTCCATTGAAAATTGATACTCTTATACAACTTTTACTGAAAATATGGGAAAATGCAGAAGTAAATGACGTCACAATTAGCATTTAGGAGGTCATATGGGAAAAATGATTTGTGTATTTTTACTGCATGGAATTCCTATGATTCAGAAAGAATGAATTTTAATTTCATATATTTGATTTAATATATCACTTTCATATTTTAGAAAAATACAGGATTTGTCTTGAAACTGGACCTTGTTCTCAGAAAAATGTTTTGAATACGTTTTCTTGAAGATTAAAATTTTCAAAGGTTCCAAAAATAAAATACTGAAGTTGTTATAGTAGTTGTGTGTATATATTTAAAGCTGGTTTGGTACAGCTTTGCATATAGGCATTATTTGACAAAGATTAGCACCTACAATACAATATACACTGTTACAATGTTACTGATCTTATTTTTTAAATTTTGAAATAGAAATATTGTTTAGTTTTATCTTTTCTTTGCAAATTGAATAATCAAATCAAGTTTAAACACAAAAGTTAAATAATAATTGGAATATTTAATTATCCCAAATTTTCTTCCATGCTACTTACCCAATTCACAGAGTTGTCCACTTAAACCTGGTGCGCAATCACATCTGTAACCCACCGTTGTGCCTGGCTCCGGAATACACACTCTGTTAGGGCTACAGGGATTATCAGAGCAGTCCACCACTGTATAAAATACCCGCTACATAGTTACAATGTACATGTAATTCACAAGTTAAACAGGTGTGCGTGGTGAATATTTAACCAAAAAAGCATAAAGATAACATATAGAAGATGAAAGTTGATATTAAAATGACACCACTTCTTTATCTTCCATTTCATAAATAATGTTGTCGAAACACAAATCTCAGTTTTACTTTTCTGAACATCTCATTTTCCAAAATATTTTAGAATTATTATTTTGTATTCAAATTTAGATTTAAGCCATCAATAATATTTGTAATTAGCATATATGTATTTTTCACAGAGTAAACACGTTTGTTCACAAGGTAGGACTTTGGACATGCATGTGAGAAAAATATAAATATATACAACAGAAAAACTGCGTCACAGTTTTTGATAAATATGTAGACAATATAGTATATTAATTCCTCAATTCACATGTGCTCTGATATTGGTTATTATCTCAAATATAAAACAAATATAAACAAGAGGCCCATGAACCATACCGCTCACATGAGCACTTGACCTGGAAAAAAACGCTAAAATCAGTTCAGTATTGAAAAGTTGAAATGAAGTTGTGGGTGTCTTTAATTTTCCGTTTATTCGTTATCATCTCCCTTTAGAAGAAGGTGGGAACAAAGTTTATCTTTCTTCACTCAAAATTAGTTTAGGCATGCTTTGGTCGAAATTGGCCCAGTGATTCTTGAGAAGACGAAAAGGTAAGCGGTTTACAGACAAACAAACAAATGCACAGATGGACGCAAGACAAACTGTGCTCAGAGAAGCAAAGTTGAGTCTCTGGCTCATTTGAGTTATAAATTTATTCCTTCTGTAAGTAATGGAATTAAGCTGATTTCATATACATGTGAAAATAAAAGCAAATTTCGTTTTCATTTCATATCAACTTTGAAGTATTACTAACCACACACTCCATTGGTGACTTGAATGTTGTCGATGGCAATATCTGATCTGAATCCACCTCCACGTGTACCCACAAACTGTATCTAAAAATAGGATATTACGATTTAAATCAATGTGTGTACCCACAAATTGTATCTGAAGAAAGGATATTAAGTTTAAATATCACTGCATACCCAAAAAACTGATCTGAAGATAGAATATTAAGATATTTCACGACGTATAGAAACAAAGTGCAGCTGAAGATAGGATCACGAAGCACGGAGATGTGTCTTTGCTTATAAGTTTATTAGATTTTTAATATACAGGTATAAAGTGAAAATGCGTACCAAAGACTGTAACATGATATTATATTGAGATTTAAATTCATGTCAATCCCCAAACTGTAAAGAATATCACGAAATAAATCAATATATATCCATTAACGGTAACAAGAATGTTAAAGCAATATGAGCTGTATCTTTGAGAATTTTATTTTGCTGGCAAAATGTGCTATTATTATTAATTTGTATGTAATTTAAACCCTTTTGACCAATTTGCCCAAAATAAAGTTTAAAAAGTTTCAGAAGAAATATTTATTTACAACCGAATATACAGCTTTATATAAGAAATCATTATTGTACAGGACGACAATAATTCAGTTTTGCTTCATTTAACATGTTTAAAGCTAATAAAAAAATTTCCATCGCAAATATAAACAGCAGAAGTTTATAAAAGATTTATTTTTCTGTCAATAAATTAGTTAATTACAAATTTGCAATAAATTTTTCGTACATCAAATATGCAGCTCATATTGCTTTAAGAAACGATGGCAGTTCGCGAACTATCTCTATATTTACAAAAATACAACTCAGATCAGAATAAAATTTGGCATACAAAGAGTCATACATATGTGCTATAAATATCATATTTGCTTCATGCTTGTGACGTCACAATGTGAAAATGCGGTCAATATCTAGATCACTTGTAACAAAAAATTAGCTGACTCAATCGTAATTTAGCAACAAACTGCTATAAAGTTAAACGCATATCTAGAAAATTCATTTGCAGTAGTATGAGTATATAATTATTTTTACGCGGTTGTTGAAGACTAAAAACTTGCGAGATGTTTAGTCATTACATGTAATTGGTCTAGGATTGATTGTTTCAGTGAATGAAGGGTTTAAGGTTTTAAAATGATAATTGTTCTGTTGCCCAGTAAAAGAAAGCTAAGGAAAATATGTGTCCTTTCTTAAGCAATTTGACATAAAATTGCCAACTTACAGAAAGAAAAATAGTTGAATATCTTAACAATAATATAAATATTAAATCTCTACAATGTCGTTAACGGCTTACTTTAGATTTTAAACTTATCAGATACGATAAAAAGGAGGCACTCAACTTTATATTCAATTTTTTATTCATATTCAATTTCTTCACTCAAAACCATGGTACATAAGGTACAAAAACATATAAAACATATATACATATAATACAGTGGGTCAAGGAGAAGGTGATAATTATCCACATCGAATTAACGATGCTCCCAAGACAGATGACTCGGGGTATGATGGTCACCATGCTCATTATTGAAACAGATATATACTGAAAGGAAAAAGAAACGCAGGGTAACATAATTTTCGATAAAAATTTTGTGTGACCACATGACCGAAAATTACGACAAATTTTGGTTAAACAATGAAAAAAATTTAGTTGCTCTGCATCAAAATTAGTATGGTTCTTTGAATTACTCAACCGTAAAATTTATGACGTCACGTAGGGAAAACGCTAAAAAGCCCAAAACACGTGCAATTTGATAACGACAAACTTGTCAACAAATCTTGTTGCATAAATTGATGCATATGACGTATGCACATCGTTTTTCAATATACACGAGAAAATATGAATTTATTTTCCTTTCATCTTTGACAGTTTACGAAAGTTCAATGGGGTCTTGTTTTCGAATTGCAAATTAATGAAAAAGGCAACAACGGTTTAAAAATAGTATTACAATTTAAATTTTCCCCCATAAAACGTTTATCCGTTGTCAGAGAGGGTATTAAGATTTTTCAATTACCGTGAACAAACGTAACGCGAAACAGAGTCATGTTACGAGCGGGTTATTGTGTCTCTGCTTATAAGCTTATGAAGTCTTTAATATACATGTATAAAGTGAAAATGCGTACCTAAGACTGTAACAATATATTATATCGAGATAGAAAGCTAATCAGGAAAATATGTGTCCTTTCTTAAGCAGTTTAATATAAAAGAAGAGGGTATCGTTTGGGCTTTATTGTGCCAAAATTTAATTTAATGTTCTTAAAAAGTTATGATTTTGGCTTTAACAAGAGTTGAGTAGATGAATATAAAAAAAATCATTAAATAATATTGCATGAAGTAAGACCATTCTGAAAATATGATGTCATTAATTTTGTACATTTCTAGAAAAGCCTCAGAAAGACTTATTTTTGTGCTTATTTTCCTTTAGAAAATAGTGCCAGCCACCGTCGCCCACTGCAATATTTGGATATATTATGTAAATTGTTTTGAAAAATCACATATCTCAAAATATTTGTGGGCAGCGGTGGCAGAGTATGTTTTCTGAAAGAAAATTCTACTGAAAATTGATGTCTTCTGCAACTTTAAGAAAATTCGGGAAAATGTACGAATTAATGACGTCACAATTGGCATTTAGGAGTTCATATGAGGAAAACAATTTGTGTATTCTTACTGCATGGGATCCTTATGATTCAGAAAAATAAATTTGAATTTCTTATATCACTTACAAAAAAATAGTTGAATATCTTAACAATAATATACATATTAAATTTCTACAATATCGTTAACTTACTTTAGACTTTAAACGTATCAGATATGATGAAAAGGAGGCACTTTTCTTTATCCACATTGAATAAACGGCGCTCCCAAGACAGATGACTCGGGTTATGATGGTCACCACGCTCATTTTTGACAGATAGCCATGGGTTATTTTTGTTTTAAAAACAACTTGCATGATTAGAAATATAAGAGTCGAAAAATCTTTGCTTCTATGACAGAACGCTCCGGAGCATGTAACTTGACAGTCTCGATCATGTGATTCCGCTACGACAGAACAGTCGCAGATGTGCGTTAAAATCAGACAGGACTACTTAAAAAAAAATTCTACACTGAAACTCTGTATCATTCCTTTTATGAAAGTTATTGTATTAAATCGGGAACTCTTGGATCACCCGTCGTATAAACAATGTGTACCAACAAACTGCAACAAGTTAGAATATCGAGATTTATATCAACGTTTACCTCAAAACTATACCTGAAGTCAGAAAATCAGGATATAAATCAATGTATACCCTCAAACTGTATCCCAAAACTAGATCTAAAGTCAGAAAATCAGGATATAAATCAAAGTATACCCTCAAACTGTATCCCAAAACTAGACCTAAAGTCAGGAAATCAGGATATAAATAAAAGTATACCCTCAAACTGTATCCCAAAACTATACCTAGAGTCAGAAAATCAGGATATAAATCAATGTATACCCTCAAACTGTATCCCAAAACTAGATCTAAAGTCAGAAAATCAGGATATAAATCAAAGTATACCCTCAAACTGTATCCCAAAACTAGATCTGAAGTCAGGAAATCAGGATATAAATCAAAGTATACCCTCAAACTGTATCCCAAAACTAGACCTAAAGTCAGGAAATCAGGATATAAATCAAAGTATACCCTCAAACTGTATCCCAAAACTATACCTAGAGTCAGAAAATCAGGATATAAATCAATGTATACCCTCAAACTGTATCCCAAAACTAGATCTGAAGTCAGAAAATCAGGATATAAATCAATGTATACCCTCAAACTGTATCCCAAAACTAGATCTGAAGTCAGAAAATCAGGATATAAATCAATGTATACCCTCAAACTGTATCCCAAAACTATGCCTGAAATCAGAAAATCAGGATATAAATCAATGTATACCCTCAAACTGTATCCCAAGATACGATATTTAAATTTATATCATCTCGCACTAACGATTTCTATCTGATGATACATAAAGTTTGAGTGGTATCAACCGACATGTCTGTAGCAGAGAAGTTTTATGTGTCCGCTACCCAAATGTCTGTAGAAATATATTTTATGTGTCATCAATCCTTATGTCTGTAGCAAAGATGTTTTATGTGTCTTCACCCACATGCTTTTAGCAAAGATGTTTTATGTGTCTTCAACCCTCATGTCTGTTATATGCAGAGAGGTTTAATTTGTCCGTTTGAACTCGAAACCACTGGCATGCCAATCCTCTGTTGCACCGGTTGAGCTAAAGGGTTAATCAATTAGCCAAATCTAGACGGAAGCCATATATCTTATACTGTTACATTGCCCCCTCCATCAAAGATAGATACAATGTATGTCCCCATCTTGTTTTGATGATGACACCTTGGTAGTCTTTCTTTTGGTTCAAGGCCTTATCATTATCGTCATTTTTATTGATTAAATTCATTTTAGTGAAAAAAAAAGTCGTACCATACTGTGGATAATTTAGTTCAGAATTTTGATCGTTAATTTTTTTCAATTACCAAGTACTTGAGTACTTAATGGGAATGACAGGCCGCTATCCAGTTACAAAAATATTGGTTTTGGCAAATTCACCTTTATACATCTTTTCATATTCATTTAACAGATCTATTTGTGAAAATCTAATGAGAATATTTGACTAATAGAAGTAAATTATGATTTTCTTGAAGCAATAATTATTGATTCCTACATTTGTTCCTGTGGTGGTGGGGTGGAGAGTTACTTCCGCTTGATGCCAGTTGTCCATTTTGTTCCCAAACTCAGCGAAGACTGTCATATTATCGTAAATGACTTGCAGGTCGCCCATTTTATTCCCAAACATGTGGTAGGCGAAGGACAGGCACATTGAATCAGCTATACAAAACATTCAAAACACGTGATAAAGAAGGCAATCTTAATAATAAATCTCTATATGTAATTTATTGCTCAAGCTAAGTTTTACCTTCATAATATAAGGAAAATAATTTCATAGTCAAAACAAAATCAGGTAAAATCAGGCATTGTGTTGCCATTTAATGCATTTTACGGCGTTTACAGATAAAACAATAAAAATTCGAACCTGCTATAATTGCTGGACTTTCAAGGACAGCTCTGTCTCCATCCCCACGACCAGTAGCTTCAGTGTAGGAGTATGTACTGCCTTCAAATGCCGCGCTGGGTCCAGTATTTGAAGAGGGGGTTCGGCCCTAAAACAAAATGTGGAATATTTTTTGTTATCTAAATCCAGCATCTGAAGCAAGTTTGAGAGTGTTCATCCCTTGATGCAACATACTTAAAATGGGACCTATACCTCCTTGGTAAAAGTCCTACACCCAAAACATTTACCTGGGTCATTATCTGGAAATTATAGGTCAGCTCCAGTATCCAAGGCAAGCCTGGTAACATGCATCCTCAGATGTACAATGTATCGTGCAAGTTTAGTCAGAATAGCAGGTCTTTTAGTTACTTAGATATGAGACGTGCCCCAAATATCATCAGGAAAATATAGGTCAGATCCAGCATCCGGAGCAAGCCTGGTAGTATATGCATCCTGAGATGTATCATCCACTTTAACCGTGTTCACTCATTAGGAAAATATAGGTCAGAACCAGCAAGTCTGGTAGTGTATTTTTAGATGCATCATCCATTCAACTTTTCTCAACATAGGGCTTATATGTACTTAGAAATGAAACCTGCACCAAAAACTTCAATCGTCACAAAAATGCTCCAAAACGTTAATCTTGCCGTTCCTTTGCTTCAATTAATATACAACATCTTTGCCGATACAAAACAAGAGGCCCACGGGCCTTATAGGTCACCTGAGTATCATGTAACAACTTTCCAACAATTGAATTTAGTTTGTGTTTTAAACCAGAGGCCATGAAAATCACGATTTTGAAAGAGGCACTATTGCTTATCATAATTATACACTTAGCAATGCTTACTAGATAGTCACTTAACACCCATAAGTAGATCAGAGTAACTAAGAGAAAAATGCACTTCCATTCTAAACCATGCAATTCTGCACCCCATCCCACAGGAACCACAGACCCTGGGGCCACATATTTCAAAATTTTATCATCATAAATGTTATTTCATCAAATATGGTTGATTAATACTAATGAGTAGATTTCAAAGCATTCATTTATTTTCTGACTATGTAACCCCCCCCCCCCCCCCGATACCCCTGACCCAGGGGGCATTAACCATTTTGCTAGATGCACCTTTCCTCATCATAAATATATATATATACTTAGATCATTGGCATAATACCCAGGAGCAAAGGAAAAGATTTTCAAAGAATTAATGTAATGTAGAGCCCCCTCTCCTTACACCAAATAGCTAAACCCCTGACATAGGGGCCATGAAATTAACATATTTGGAAGAGGCACTCTTGCTCATTATAACTATGTACTTAGTTAGTTTATTTAATACTCAGGGTCAGAGGAGAAATTTTTTTTTTTAAATAATGCATTTTCACTGAATAATCTATATAGCCCCACCCTAGCACTAGAACCCCTGACCCTGAGAAATTCACAAATTTGGAAGAGACACTCTTGCTCATCATAACTATGTACTTAGTTAGTTTATTTAATATCCAGGAGCAGAGAAGAAGATTTTCAGAGATTTAATGCATTTTCACTATATAATCAATAGAGCCCCGCCCTAACACCAGAACCCCTGACCCTGGGGCCATGAAATTCATAAATTTGAAAGAGGCACTCTTGTTCATCATAACTATGTACTTAGTTAGTTTATATAATACTCCAGAGCAGAGAAGAAGATTTTCAGAGATTCAATGCATTTTCACTATATAATCAATAGAGCCCCGCCCTAACACTAGAACCCCTGACCCTGGGGCCAAGAAATTCACAATTTTGGAAGAGGCATTCTTTCTCATCATAACTATGTACTTAGTTAGTTTATTTAATACCCAGGAGCAGAGAAGAAGATTTTTAAAGAAATAATGCATTTTCACTATATAACCTATTTAGCCCCGCCCTAGCACTAGAACCCCTGACCCTGGGGCCATGAATTTCACAATTTTGGTAGAAGACTCAATGCTCATTACATTCATGTCAACAGTTAGCCTGCTTGATGTCCAGGAGTAAAGAAGAAGGTTTTTAAAGATTTCACTAATTTTAGTGGTTTTGGCCCCACCCCTCAGGCCCCAGGGGGGCGGGGACCATGAAATTCAAAATTTTTGTTCCCCTCATAGATGCTGTATACCAAATTTAGTTGAAATTGGTTCCATGGTTTCAGAGAAGAAGCTGAAAATGTTCAAATGTTAACACACGACACACGACGGACGACGGACGAAAACGGATAGCAATAGGTCACCTGAGTGACTCAGGTGACCTAAAAAGGCATTTCCAAGCATCTCTAATAAACTCTGACAACTTCTTAGAACAAAAACTGCACTTAAAACCTGGGATACCGACACCAACGCCAACGGCATCACATCTCCCTCCCCGCTTCGTTGAGGTGAGCTAAAAAGCAGGCTTTGTCACCAGAACTTTGTTTATACTAAATTAATTTTGGAAAATCCACGAGAGGTTTTGATTTGAACATGTTTTATTATGCAATGAAAGGTTAATAGCTGACTTTGATAGGGGCACTGTATTCTGAGATGAAATATAAATGAATCGAACAGCAGGCATTGTATTAGGTAATTACTCAGCATGGTTATCATAAATCAAAACGGAGCGGAAGTTTAAAACATACATAGATTTAAGTAGCAGGCATTGTATTAGGTAACGAAAACAAATGGATAGGACAGCGGACATTGTATTATGTACTAGCTGAAACACAGATTGTGCAATTGGCATTGTATTATGTATTGTAACTTAGATTGGGCGGTAGGCATTGTACTATGTATTGAAACATAGATTGTGCAATTGGCATTGTATTATGCATTGAAACATAATCGGCCAACATGCATTGTATTGTGTATTGAAACATAGATTGGGTGGTACTGGCATTGTATTATGTATTGAAACTTAATTGGGCAGCAGGCATTGTATTGTGTATTGTAAAATATATTGGGCAATCATGTGTTGTATTGTTTTAAATGAAATAGGAATGGATAGGGTAGCATTGGGTACCAGTATACATGTCACATCTTTCCATACGAGGTTAACATTTTGCAGCAAAACCTACCTATGAACTTTTTGAAAAAAAAAAAAAAATATATATATATATATATATATATATATATATATATATATATATATATATATATATATATAATATAGTTGTCTGAGGAATTTTAGTGTGTGTGTGTGTGTGTGTACTGGACACAGATTTGATATATTTTCTCATTTTTTCTGTATAATATATATATATTTATATATATAAAAATATATATATTATTAAAACTTTAAATTTTTTGGCGGGTTTGATTGACTCATCCTTGCACTTTCACAAATTTTAACTTTATTCTTAATCCTAAGGAAAAGTTGCAATTTTGATGTGTTTTAATGAGAAATATTAAAACTTTTATCAAGAAAAATAATTTTATTCAGAGTAGAAATGTTAGAAAGCAAAACACCTTCACAAGTATCGTCATTCCGAACTAAGAGATGCGTGCAGAATTTAGCAAATCGAGCACACTCGTGTTATGTACACAGTTTTTGTAAACAGGGCTCGAGTTCTGTTATTGTTTATATTTAGAATTCACCGGGTGCGTTCAATCGTCACAGTCTGCTTACCACAACTGCACGGACTGACAATATATTGTGTGTTTGTTTTGCTTTCGAACGTGTCTTCTCTGAATTTTCTGGATTATAGTATTAATATTTTTCATTTATACAAAATGAGATTGCCACTCTTCCTACGGATTAAGAATAAAATTAAATTTGTGAGAGTGCAACGATATGTCAATCAAACCCGCCGAAAAATTTGAAATTTCAATATCTTTTAAACGAAATAAGATTTTTTAATTAATTTTTGTGTGAAATGCTATTAAAATATATAAGTCGTAATATTATAGAGAAAATAATAACTTCAAATCTGTGTCCAAGTACCTTTAACAGCTCTAAAGGGTACTAAGATTTTGACTAACTGAAAACCAATGGTGCCTATTATTAATCACACAAATGATTTGTGGCAAGATTGATTACATATAGTCCCATAAAATTTGAGAATATGATCGCATAACCATTTTGCAACATATCTGTAATAATAATAATAATAATAATTTGCTATTGATTTTAGGTAGCTAAACAATACAAAAATTATCAATTCAAAATATTCCATGGAATGGCATTATCCTTCTATTTTTTTTTTATTTTTGTATAAAATCCAAGTGACTAACTTCTTATTAAAGAGAACAAACCCTTTTCAGATATTTAGTTGACATGAACATGTAATATATGTACTATTTTGTATGAAACAAAATCAAAATCTAATCAAAACCACTGTTTTAAATATAGTACACGGTGCATATATTATCTATAAGCCTTTTCCAATACTTTAGTGGAAAAACCAAAATATAAAACCAAGTAAATAAACATCAAACACCCGTCCAACCCCTATTATATGAAAATAAAGGGAAAACATGAACATAAACCCCTAATTAAGGAACAACTGAAAAAAGTACAGCAACTTATAATGAACTCACACTTTTACTTGTCCAATCAAAATCGTCGTATTTTGATTGAGTCAGGAAACAGGTTGTCCCCTGCTCAAAGGTACAGCTGAAAGGCGGACTCACAGGGGAGGGTGTGGTGGTGGTGGGGATAACTGGAATAGGAGATACATTGTTACACTACAGACTCATGATCCTCTTACATCGATAACGCAAGGAAAGGTCATTTTTTTTTCTTTCAATTTGAACCAAGTTTGCATCAAGACACTTTTTTGGCTAAGTTTTAACTCAAACATGCTATTAATTTGAGCATTTTTTGGATATATTGATGAAAGTTTATACAAATTAGCATTTCAAGATGATGCAAAATTAGGAAATTAAGATGATTAAATATGTCCAAGATGTACGAACTGACGTTCCTTCTGCATCGACTTCATAAAAAAAAGACAGAAATAACTGAGAAGATAAACCACTCACCACAGTCACCTGACAGGAAGTGAACGTCATCAATTGCTATGTCACTACGGAAACCTCCTCCACGGGTGGCAGTAAATTCAATCTAGGAAAGAATTTTTATACTTTGTTTTGTTTAAATTTTAAAAATTTAATTTGCAATCTTTACATTCAATAACAACTCAAAGCTTTATACATTTTTGTAGTGAAAATTAACAGCAGGTTATACAGATAATTTCAAGGAAATGAAAACTAAAAATAATGTAGTATGTTTACATTGCCACTTGTTGGTGGAACTGAAATATATGCTGTTTTCCACTTGTTTCCTTTGTCCCCGCTTTCACTGAACAGAGTCTGGTTGTTACCAGCGGATATAATGTCCACCGTCAGGGAACCCATATTTTTGCCATACATATGATAAGCGAAAGACAGACAGAAAATCTGGCCTAGAAATACAGCATGGATTTGATTTAATTGGTTGATTATATATGGGTTAGGGTTAGAATTATATATTGAATTATAATCTTTCACAGAGTCCAGTGAATAAAATGTATAAATGTAAATTATATGACAAAGAACATGACGCAATTTCAAGGTAAGAGATCTGAATATTAACAGAAAGAGTTACTTATAATTCTGTAACACTGCAAGTAAGATCAAATAAAAGTATTCAATTATACTTTTAAAAATATTAACAAAACTAGGAGACTTATTGTTCACAGAACAATAAGAGGTCTTTCCACCTTTTTAAATTTCTTATAGTTTTTTTTTATTTTAATCTCTAAATTTAATTTTCAAGGAAAATGGCTTGAAAGATAGTGAAAATTAAAAAAAAAATTAAAATGAAATCAAATGACCTTGACCTTTGACGTTGATCAAATCTTCAAGGTCAAAGGTCAAGGATCACATTGCAATTGACCCCATGCCTCTACGACTTTTAGTTCTATAGTTATAAGGTTAAATATTAAGTGCAAAGAAGTTAAAGGGCAATAACTCATATAAGGGGTCATTAGATCCTTTAGTACTTATACAATGAAGATTTGCCTTAAGACCCTTAAGACATTATTGAAGGTTTCATGCCTCTACTGTCTACGGTTTTGAAGTAGTAGCAATAACAATGTTTTTCTCATAAGGGGCAATAACTTTTGAAAGGGTCAATCTTAGGGGACAAGAATGAAATCTTTGAAATAGATTTAAGAGTACATATGAAAGATGCAAAGAATGATTTTATGTGTTAAAAGACAAAAGAGATATAAAAAGAGCTTAATTTCTCATTTTTGGAGTGACCTTGACCTTTGACCTTTGCATAAATTTGAAGGTCAAAGGTCACTGAATCTTATGCACTTGGTCCCATGACTTTACGACTTGTCATTTTGAAAATTTTTAATTATTTGTAAAATTCAAAAATTTCAGGGGCAATAATTCATAGAAGGGGTCTACAAATCCTTTCGCAATGAATAGATCCGAAGGTCCTCTCAAGTAATCGCAGACATTGGTAAAGGTTTCAAACCTCTGCGGTTTACGATTTCGGAGGAGTAGCGATAACAAGCATTTCTTGCGTAAGGGGCAATAACTTTTAAAAGGGTTAATGGTAGGGGACAAGAATGAAATCTTTCAAATAGTTTTAAGATGGCATACTAATGTTGCAAAGACTTGAAGTATACGTTGTACAACAAAAGAGATATAAAAAGACGTTCATTTCCCATTTTTGGAATGACCTTGACCTTTGACCTTTGCATAAATTTTAAGGACAAGGGTCAATGAATCTTACACAGTTGGTCCCATGTCTCTACGACTTCTCGTTTTAAAATTTTTTTCATTATTTGTAAAATTCAAAAACTTTCAGGGGCAATAACTCATAGAAGGGGTCTACGAATCCTTTCGCAATGAATAGATCCGAAGATCCTCCCAAGTAGTCGCAGACATTGGTAAAGGTTTCAAACCTCTGCGGTTTACGGTTTCGGAGCAGTAGCGATAACAAGCATTTCTTGCAAAAGGGGCAATAATTCCTTTAAGGGTCAAAGTTCATATACGCAGGGTCAACTGCGAAAATCATTTACAAAGTACATTCTTATGGTCTATAAATCTTTTCGATAAATCTTGAAATTCAAAAACACGTTTGGCGGAAAAATAATAATAACTAGGAGACTTATTGTTCACAGAACAATAAGAGGTCTTTCCACCTTCTTTGAATTTCAAATTTGTTATATATCTGACTCCTTAAAATTATATTCCATGAAAAAGAAACCAGAATTGTCTTAAAGCACAGAAAAAATTAAATTAAAGAAAAAAATTGGAATGACCTTGACCTTTGATTTTGAAAAAATATTCAAGGTCAAAGGTCAAGGGTCATAATGCAATTGACCCCATGCTTCTATGACTTATAGTTTGCAAGTTATAAGGTTTAATAGTAAGTACAAAGAAGTTAAAGGGCAATAACTCATACAAGGGTCATGAGATCCTTTCGCACTTATACAGTGAAGTTAAGCGTAAAGACTCCTAAGACATTTGTGAAGATTTGGTGACTCTACGGTCTATAGTTTCGGAGGAGTAGCAAAAAATAGGTTTTTCACACAAGGGGCAATAACTTTAAAAAGGGTTAATGTTAGGGGACAAGAATGAAATCTTTGAAATAGTTTTAAAAGTACATAGTAATGATGCATAGACATTAAGTATATGTTGAAAGACAAAAGAGAAACAAAAAGAGCTAAGTTTCTCAGTTTTGGAATGACCTTGACCTTTGACCTTTACATGAATTTTAAGGTCAAAGGTCAATGAATCTTATGCAGTTGGTCCTATGTCTCTACGACTTCTCGTTTTGAAAATGTTTAATTATTTGTTAAATTCAAAAAGTTTCAGGGGCAATAACTCATTGAAGGGGTCATGAATACTTTTGCAATGAAGGATTTAAGGTTTTCTTAATTAGTCTAAGACATTGGTGAAGGTTTCATTCCTCTACAATTTACGGTTTCGGAGGAGTAGCAATAACAAATATTTTTGCGAAAGGGGCGGTAACTCCAAAAGGGGTCGAATTTCATATACACAGGGTCAAACGAAAAAATCTTTTAAGGAGTACATTCATATGAACTATAAATCTCCTCAATAACTTGTGAAACAAAAAACCATTCGGCGGAAAAATAATAAAAATAATAATAATAAACAGAACAATTTCAATAGGTCTTTCCACGGAAAGGTGGAAAGACCTAATAAACAGAACAATTTCAATAGGTCTTTCCACAGAAAGGTGGAAAGACCTAAAAATAGAACATCTAAAGGCCGCATAAAAATTTCCCATTTAGCTTAATGCATAAAGACAAAGCAAAAGTGATAACATTAATTGTAAAACAGACAACACATGAATGACAACAAACTTGAAAGATAGTGACAGATCACTCAATGACACAAAAAACTATTAAAAAATTTACTTGTTGCAATATCTGAACTTTGCAGCTTGGCTGCTGCATTTGTCCTTTTTCCTGATGCTTCTATGTAAGAATACTTATTTCCTTCATAAGCAGACGAGGGCCCTGTTCCACGTGATGGTGTACCTCCCTGAAATAGCACATCATAAACAGTTTATTGTGTATCAAATTTACAACACTTATTACTAAAAAAAAAGTAAACATATATATAACAATGAAGCGCATTGAAGTGGTAAAATTTCTCGTTTGAAATGAACGTTTTGAGCTATCTTTAGAACCTTGATTGTCATACAAAGATACGCCCATTTCTTTAGAAAGAAAAATCGGTCAAATGGTTCATTCGAATACCTGTGGAACAGGTATTCCATAAACATAATAGCCAATCAAATTGACGGTCTACATAAACACAGAATAAGCCCATGTTCGACCAATACATGTGTTATGGAATCTCCAATAAACATGAAAAATTCATAATTGTTTACAAATTCGTTGCAATACGTGTTTTACGGAAGCTGGAACTCTCTAAATCTCTCATAACTTTAAAAATCTCCATTCCGGCGTAACTCTAGTTGCTTGTCGCAAAGAGTGGGGTGTCCTAAAACGTTGCGACGAATATTTCTTGTTCGTTTCTAAAGAAATGGGCGTGCCCTTCTGATATAATTGACGCTCAAAACATGACTCAGAACGTTTCATCCAAACGGAAAATTTTACCACTTCAATGCGCTTCATTGTAATCTTTCCTGTAATCTAGTATCATACTTAATTATTACATAATTGTCTAGTTAAATTTTGAAATAATGATCTAGTTTTACTAACTCGTCTTATCAAGTTTAACATTGATATAATTTAGTTTTGTTTGATTGGATTCAAAAATACTCTATATCATATAACCTGGGTTTCCAACGGTGACTTAGGCCTACGTCAAAAACGTGCCAATTCTTAGACGTTTACACAATTTGTTTTGCTAATTTTATCTTGTTTTACATATGAATTGGTCCTGTATCATTTACTGACCTCACTGTCCAGTATTATTAACTGTTATTATCTTCTAGATATCATTACTTAATATATTAACGTTCAGTATTGCTCACTGATATCTAAAGTTACAATATGACGCATCTCTTCAAAAACAGACTTGTTAAAATTTTCCTATAGGATTTGGAATTTTTTTCATACTCATGAATGTATACACTTTCAGAAAATTACAAATTTCATAAGTAAATAATTCTGATTATTCTATTCAAATTAATTATTATTTATGGCCCATAAATATATACATCGCAACGTGTTCGAGGTTCCAGTCATTCCATGCTATACACGCATGCGTAAAGTTTTCATAAACAAAACAGCATGGTAAGAGAGGGAAGCCCGGTAGGCCTGGTACATTGACAAAGTAGACCAAAACGAAAAACAAAACCAAAAATAGGACTGGAAATTAAAAAGCAACTTTCCTGACAAAAATTTAGTTGGAAAATTAATATAATCATTGGATGAAGAAGAAACGGGATCTCGGCGACATTCACGTGGGGCTCGCGAAGGTTCTACCCTACAGGTTTGTTGATACATGCTATCATTTATCGTATCTCCGTGGCTTTCAAATAAAAAAAATAAGTGTAAACTCAGCGTAAAAATACACTTATGACATATAAAAATTAAATTACCATTTGAAGTGCAAATTGTATTGGAACTGCAGAAAGATATTTTGTTTGACATTTTGGTTTGGTGGATTTTCCTTTCCTGCACCCCAATACACAAAACGCCAACATTTGTACTTAATCATGTTAAATGCGTCTGAATACAGACTAATATGTTAACTATTATTAATTTACCGGAGAGTTAAGAAATTTTGATTCTCAGAATTGCTTTTACTTTTATGAATTACTATTTTGATATTTAGTAAAATACAATTAAATTCAATTTATTTTATTGAAAAAGAGAAAAAAATCACGAATGAAGCTTTTATAATATCCATTGTATACTTGTCAGTATCACAATATATGTGATAGCAACCATTATAAGGAAGTGTTCAAAAACTATTTGGTTACCATAGCAACGTTATTTGGGACGCCTAAATTTTTATTAATTACTTTTTTAGTGAAATAACAAATATTTGATAAGTGTTATCTATTTATTGAAGAAATTAAAATAATGCACTTAGGCCACAGATTCTGCATAATGAAAACGCCAATAGCTACAGTGATTTTTCCTGACTTTTTGGTTGCTATAGTAACACATTATTTTTGTTAAATTTATGAATTTACATTTTTATCATTTTATTTTGAAATTATGAGGTTTAGTAGTGTGATTTGTTTTACTTTTGATATTTTTTAAAGCTATACGTACAAAAAAGAGCCAAATGTTGAATCTACAAATTCATCCAAAATCTCCATAGCAACCGTTTTCATTTTCGTTTTATTTTATTTCAAGAAATATTACCACTCTAGAAATTTTATATTTTGTTGAGTAAGGAATGACCTTTCCAGTGATGGTAGTTGTTTGTTATGGATTGCCTGCGTTTTCTTGCTACTACGCTTAGAAAATGCCAAAAATTGACATTTTTGCAAATTTGTTAAAATTTGAAAAATTCACACTTTTCACTGAAAGACAACTCTTTTATGACCAACTACTGGATAATTTCATCAGTTGTGGTAGTTACTACAACAAATATTCTATCAGAGTAGGCAACAATTAAATCTGTAAATAAAATGCAGAAAATGTAAATTTATGATGAAGATTGTATACTTTCAGTAGGTTGCTCCGTATTTTTGGCCTCAAAATGGTGGTTTTGGTTACCATGGCAACCCGGACTCAAAATAAAAAATTAACCCCAAAAATGTTCTATACATGGTGTTTCTACGTTGCATGCAAAAAATCAGCAAAATCTGTGATGTACCATTTCCAACTTTTTTCTAAATTCTTTGATTCTTACAGAGAATGACTCTTAATATTTCATTATAATCGTAAACCCTACGTACATTGTATGCAGTGTCATTTTAGAATTCACGTGGTACAAGTAAACAGAACTAAGTTGTACGACCCTTGATTTTCCGGCAGATACTTATTACGTTAATTTTGTATGAGGAGAGAATATTTATTTTTATCAAATGCTTACTTCAACTTTTTACCTTATTCTTGAATGAGATATTGGGTAAATTTGAATGAAAAAGCACATGACTTGCAGCCGTATTGCCGCTTTAATCACCTAGTATTAATGATAAATGGTCCTGTATAACTTGATCTTTTTTGCCAGTATTAGTTATTTACTTTAACATCCAATATCACTAACTGTTATTATAGCTCAATATTACTTACTTTTCCTATCCAGTATTACCATATAATGGACATAAATTTACTTTTCTATCTTTTCCAGTACTAGTATTATTGATAAAATAGACCTGTATTATTAACCGATCTTATCCAGTATTTTTTTTCCAGTACTAGTATTATTGATAAAATAGACCTGTATTATTAACCGATCTTATCCAGTATTACTTATACATGTACAATAGATGGACCTGGTATTACTTACTGATCTTATCCAGTATTATTGATATAATGAATCTGTATTATTTATTGACCTTTTCCAGTATTACTGATACAATAGACCTGGTATTACTTACTGATCTTATCCAGTATTATTTATATAACGGATCTGCATTACTTACTAATCTTATCCAGTATTACTGATACAATGGACCTGTATTACTTACTGATTTAATCGTCCAGTCAAAAGAATCTGAACTTATATCTCGCAAGAAGCAAGTATTATCTTCAAAGGTACAGTGGAGGTCCAGCTGAGTAGTTGTAGGCCTAGTTGTAACTGGTTGTGACGTCGATTGACGAGTTGTTGGTTGTTGTGTTGATGGCTGTAGCGTTGTTGGTTGGCGGGTTGTTGGTGCCTGCGTTGTTGGCGCTCGTGTGGTTGGCGCCTGCGTTGTTGGCGCTCGTGTAGTTGGCGCCTGCGTTGTCGGCCGTTGTGTTGTTGGTTGGCGGGTTGTTGGTTGTTGAGTAGTTGGTGCTTGTGTACTTGGTTGTGGAGTTGATGGTTGACCTTAATATAATATATCTTAGAAATTGATATCTATATTCTTTTCAGACCTCATCTTATCTAACACACCATTAAATAGTAAAAGTGACATTAAAAAATAATATACCTTTATATTTGCAAGTAGTTTTTTTTTCATTTGAAATAACTTGAATTTTACCAATTAAAGTAAAAATATCTTATATACAGCATAATACTTGGAGAGAAAAAAATGACATACATGTAATAATAGATCTATGCGGATTGATAAGATTTTTCGGGCTTTAAATAAGTTGGATTTTATCAAGTGAGATAATAAGTGAACAGAAACCTACCACAAGGTGTTGACGATAATACAACGTCATCTATGGCAATATCACCTTGCCATGAACTCCCACGGATAGCTTCAATTGTGACCTAATTAATCAAAGAAATCTTGTCTTGAATTTCATAGATTGTTTAGTGACCGCTACAAAAATGGTCATTACACAACTGAGTAAATACCCTTTTCACTCATTTTAAAAATGAAAGTAGGCCGCGAACTTATTTTTTCTATGCAAAATCAGTTCATATATAGGTTACATCTACATATTTTCAAATCTGTACTGTATTTTAATGTTTCAGTTAGCGACATTTTGCTGACAATGCATTCCAAACGCTGTTCTTTACAGAAAAAAAAACCCATCCCAATCGCAATATTTTCACACATATGTGTTAACTGATATTCAGATATTTAATTATAACAAGTACATGTAGAGTAAAAACATCAGTTGTTGAATTAATGGCCACGAGTGTGCCGTTTTAAATCACAGATGACTCGAAGCCATTGTTAAACAAACCTGGCCTTTATTACTTTAGGAACGATTGGAATAAAACGTTTGGCAGTGATGAAATCCAAATTAAAAAAAAGAAATATATAGAACTGAATATTTGTGTTTTTTTTTTCAAATATATCGCAATAGTACGGATATATCTATAAAGCTGTTTATTGACTTATTTACCGGTGATCTGCCATAACAATCATTCAAAAATGGGGAAGCTTACAAACCTAAGTCATGTAGACACCGAATTTAGCGGTTTTTATTTTGGTGAATTTTTAAAAATTGCCAAAATAGTCCAAAATTATATCCCCACCAAAAAAAAAACGGTACAAAAAAATAGAAATTGAGAAAGGGCCTTTCCTTTTCTTATTTATTAGGTTGAGTTAATGTTTAACGCAAAGTTGGCAATTTGTTCGCCATATTTTGGTCCACATTTCTGCTTCAAAGTTATTAACATAAAGAGCCATAGCGCATTTCATAGGCATTTTCGCTTACTCTAGTAGTGATATTTCAGACCGTTTAACAAACCTTCGTCATGCAGTCTTAATTTCTACATGCGTTAAACCAAATCACTCAAAAATGATACTTAAATGTTGATAGTTCCCTCATATTATAGTGGGAATATGAAAATTATTGAGTTAATTAAGTTCACCCTGAACCAGAAAATTAAATAACTTCTGAATAATTTTATTTGTGGCTGCACTTCATTATATTTAGATAATTTTGGTCTAAATAAAGGTAGTTTTCATACTAAAAAATGATTTTAGAAAGTAATTTAATTTTTTTCCCCTAATCTTAAGATTTAGGGATCTGTCTTAAAGAGCCATAGCTGCCTTACCGAGGACACGACCGACTCAAGAGTTTAAAAGGAAATCACTTACAGTGTACCAGTATCTCTATAGATATACCTTTGCAAATACATTGTATATAATAGAATTCGTGGTCCAGTGTTGTATTTTCATAGTTCCAAGTACATGTATGTCCATCGACAATTTATTTATTCAGTATTTTAATTCTGAGAAAAAAGATTTTAAAAATCCAATAAAAGTGTAAAATGTATTTAAAACTTTTTGAAATTATGTAAGCATGTGTATTATAAAGCATAATATACTCAAAGAAAAAAGTACATATGAAAAAAAAAATGTGGATGTTGAGCTCGCAATCACCATATTTACGATTAAGCAATCATACCACTTCGCCAAGCCATTTAACTCAGGTGGATAAAAAGACAGATTTCCAAATCGTAAGATAATATGGGAAGCAAATTGAACAAATATTTTCATCATTTTCAATATGATCGAAGACTGTCTTAAAACAAAATTATTCAAATATAATGAAGTGTAGTCATATCCAAATAAAATTATTCAAAAGTTGTTTTTCTGGTTAAGGGTGGCCTTTGGCAGCAGTTGGTCATCAATTAGTGGATACCTCATTATCTACTACATGTATATAATCTATACAAACTGCTTGAACAGTTTTCATATTTATCATATGAGGGAACTATAAACATTAAAACATCATTGTGTGCTTTCAGGTTCTATAAATGTATACACTAAGATAAAATGACAAATGGTTGGTTAAACAATATATTTGAGAAATCACTACTAGAGTAGGTGAAAATGCCTATCAAACGTGCTCTGGCTCTTTATCTATTCAATATCAATGACTTGGTTTTAATGCTAGAGTGTAAACTTGGTGACTGCTTGTAAGAGTCCCGCATTTTTTCTATTCTTTTAATTTTTTCTTAATGTATCTTTTCTACGTTTCTCTTCATTATACTATACATAATTTCAGAATTTATAATATACAAATTACAACTTGAAATTATCTAAGGAAAAAACAGTCCTTAACCAATTTAGTGACGCAAATTCATGGCTTCTTTTATATTTCATTGATTTTCTAAAATTAATCTATTGTTTCAGAATAAGAGGACATGTATTTTAGGGGGCCGACTTAGGTTTTATTGCCTGAAAACTACAATAGCAAAACTCTTCATTTTTAAACAATATATAACTGACATTAACTTTAGTGTACATGCAAAGTTTGGGCGAAATCTACCGTCCAGGTATTTCTAAGGGACCATCTCAAAATACAGGTACATTTACTATAGGATTATAAAGGAAAGTGACAATTTTTAGCACTTTAAAGCAAATTATACAAATACTACAATAGCGTTTTTGTTCAAACTATACCATATGATGAGTAAAACTATCTTGTACATTATGTGTAAAAAACACAAAATTCTACCGTCTTGTTACCAGAGGGGGGCATCTCAAAACGCCAAAAATTAACGAATTTTTCTGTTATTATAGAGTGCTACAAAATATGACGCATGCATAGGATTTATACAAAAAATAATAAAATATGATGAAGAGATTATCAAATTCCTGTGTAGTAAATTTCAAGAGCGTATGTTTATTACTTTTTATTTAATAACATTTTTATTACCCCTTTCTTTAAGAGCTTCAGTTTATCATAACGTCAAAAACACACTATAACGACGTCAACCTACCTATCAGTTGCAAAATCGGTCAAAAATTCAGTTATGTGAAATTTTAATTACATTTTTAAACCTGTTATTGCTTAATTTTGTTTAATTTTATTAATCAATTGAAAAAAGTTGCTTTAAAACAGTAAATATGCTTCATTTTACTATGATGTGCGAAATATTGCGCAATGAAAACTAGAGTCGGCCCCCTTAACATGTAAAACGATCGATTGTCATCTAACATTCTTGCAACTATGAAAATATCAAACTTGTCCACGAATGATAACTTAGATATTGTTTGATCTTGAACTGAAAAGGTACTGTATACGATGTATATATAAATAGAAATACTTTTTCTGTTAAGTAGAGAATTAATTTTTTATTCATTCTTGGATTAATACTTGTCAGACTGTGTTTTTATTGAAATCTTGCAAAATTCATCAAAGAGAAGAATTATTTAGATTATACATGCCATTGATATTGTTTTCAGTATAATCCAATTATTTTACCTGGTAATTGACAGTGTCAGCAATATCAACTTCAGCTTTAATCCACTGGTTTCCCTGACTTCCCGATTTGGTCCAGACCTGGTTTCCATTTTGTAAAATGTTCAGTGTTCCAACAGAATCACCATTCATGTGATACCAGAAAGACATGCATCTTGGGATAGCTTAAGATAACAGAAAGTGCAAGATAATGTATATCCTGTTTATTCTTAATATGATAAATATTGTAACATCAAACATTAAAAATAACTGTTTCATTTGATGCGCCATAATTTTAATCTAGGAAATTGAAGTAACAATACTGAGAATAAGCAATTGGAAGATGCATGTAATCGCCGTATTTTTATTTAACATTTTTGATTTAAATACTTAAATAGTTTCTCTACAGAACCTTGGTATACCTAAAATTAAAGGCGTTTCAAGTTGAAATTTATCTCCTTGTGCTACGGGGCTGGAAACCTCTGCATACATATATTGTGTTCCCACCTTAGCTCTAGATGGACCCGTCCCGCTAGACGGCGTGCTACCCTGTAAAATGGAAACGTCAGAGAATTTTGACAAACAGGTATGACAGCTCGTCTGCAACTTCATGAGGTCTTCAGATGTAATTTGAACAAATTTAAGAAAAAAAACTTAACGAGAAAATATCTCGGCTACTGATGATTTCTGAACATACAATATAATTCTAGATTTTTCAATTGAAATACCTTTGTCCAATTCAGTTAAATACTTAAATACAATATTTTTAATAAAATTTAACGATAACGCAGTTTAAAAAATATGTATTGTAAGGTAGCATACGCGTAAACTAGTATTGAAGCTTAGGTGAACTCGCATTTCCATTTTTTAAAATTCTATCTGAAAATTATCCAGCAGGAATCCATTAGAATTTTAAGCAACAACTGAATCATAAAGTACATGTATATGTATACTGAAATAATCATTAGTTTACCGAACGTATGATCCAGTCGTAGTTGTTTGTAGGGGAATTTGTAAAGAGACAGTTTTGTCCAGCTTCAAATCCACAAGAAATCGTATCAGTGCCTAAAAAAATAAATCTGTAACACTATACAAGATTTATATAACGATAAAATACGACAGAATAAATTGATAGATGAAGTGATTTTTCCTAAAACATGTAAAATAGAATGATCAGGTATTGACAAGATATAAATTGTCTGGTACTCTTTAACAGATTTTAAAATAGGTTTAAATGATTGTCTGTACTTATCACAATTAACAATTAAAACAATAGTGTTTGATATTTGTAAACCAATATTATTTTATTAACATTGACCTTTGTTGGTCTTTGGGGAACATTTTATGCATACAGACATTAGGTATGTTCATATTTGCCTCATTCTTTATTATCAATTTATAAGTTAACCTGACCACCGCCGAAAGATGGGTGAAATATTGCCAACTCGATCGTAAATAGTAATCTTTCTGATCAGGGCTTTGAAAAATTATGAGGAAACTCTTTGAATGATATGAAATGTCGTGTACCATTCTCTTAATCAAACTTCCAGTACATGTTTTTAAAATTTATTTATTATCTTTAGATAATATAGACCTACAAAGGCTAAAACCTTGATCAAGTGGTTCAGACTTTGGGAACTTCAAAAATCAAGTTAAAATAACCTTAAAAAGAATCAAATATAAAGTATTATATGAGGAAAAAAATATTTTCAATATGCAATATTAATCTAACAATTTTCTCCATTAACCTTGAATACAATTTTAATTATCACTACATATTTAGAATTGGGAAAAGAAACTATTAATTCGTAAAATCTGAGCCAAGACAAAAGATAGATTAATGAAAACTATTTCTCTTTTTTCAAACTGTTCTTCCAAAATAATGTTCTCTTTTTTCATATTTTTTATGAAGAAAAAGAAAAAAATAAATTTCACCTCTAAACTGCGACTCGGTCTGACAATAGTTTTCTTGGGGTGGAATTTTCAATGTTTCACTCGATCAACTATAGTAAAACTCGTTTAGTTCGAACACAGATATAGCGAATTCACGGATATAGCGAAGTTTTTCTGGGTTCCTTGCAAAATTCTTAACAAATCTTTGTAAAATTTTATGGTTATAATGAACTCTGATATAACGAATTTACGGATATAGCAAACTGATTTTGGGTCCCGTTGAGGTTAAATATAATTAAATTTACATCTTTTGTAACGAACTTTCAAAGATTTCAAAATTTGATGAATCGAACTAACTTTATTTTCTTTTAGCATTTGTTTATAAAATTCAATTCATAATAAAACCTTAGTTATCAAAGGTATATTTTGTAATATTTGCTTTCCTAAATATTTGGTAATAATACTTGAAGGAAAACATGCATATTGCGAATTTGCTATATATGGTTAAACCAATTCATTATACGGATATAACGAATTATGGATATAGCGAATTAAATTCACAAGTCCCCAGGACTTCGCTATAACCGAGTTTTACTGTATATGCAATATTTATATTATGTATAGAGGCCTTTAACTATAACCCATAAGATTAGTGGTTTCAGTAATATAAAATTGTGTAAAATTGATGATTGCAAAAACGATCGATTCCCGCATTGTTTTCTATTCTTTTCATTTTTTCTTTGTGCATATTTTCTACTGTTTCTTGGAATTATACTAAACATAATTCCAAAACTTATAATATACATATTACAACTTGAAATTATATCAGAAAAAGAACAGTCCTTCATAACTAATTTACTGATGCAAATTCATAGTTTCTTTTATTTTTCATTGATTTTCTAAAATTAATCTATTGTTTCAGAATAAGAGTATTGAACTTGTAAAACGATTGTCATCTAACATTCTTGCAACTATGAAAATATCGAACCTGTTCTTTCAAAATAATGTTCTCTTTTTCTTCATATTTTTTATAAAGAAAAAGAAGAAGAAATTCACTCCTCTTCTGCGCCTCGGTTTGACAATAGTTTTCTTTGGGTGAGAATTTTCAATGTTTCGCTGGATCAACTACATGCAATATTTATATTATGCATAGAGTTCTTTAACTATAACCCATAAATTTAGTGGTTTCAGTCATGTGTCACAATTACCGTGTAAACATATGACTCAAAATAAACAATTACCTTGTAAACATATATATCAATTTAACACTTTCTTCTTTAATAAGTGTGTCTTCTCTCTATTTCTATATTCTATATAAGTACCTTTTGCAGAAAAGCTTTGTCACAATTGTTTTCTATCAAGTATTAAAAGAAATTTTCTCTGAATGACTAGAACACAAGTAGAGTTTTATTTAAAAAAAACTGATACTTTAGCAATCTAAACAAATGCTGTAAAATCACATATTTTCGAGGAGTCAAATTTTCGTGGTTTGAGGAAAACATATTGGTTCATGCCTTCATGGGCATTTGATTTCGTGGTTGACGAATTGTTCAGTAGTAATATATGTGTAAAATTGCATTTCGTTATGGATATAAATTCTTGGGTCTCTTCATACCTCGAAAACCACAAAAATTAAACCCCCACAAAAATTTTTATTTCACAGTAGCTGTCTAAGTTCTTTTTGTTCTTTTAAAGATTTTTTGCATATATAAATAAATACAAACTCATGATTTTTGCAATTTCGAAATAATTATCTATAATATAAAAACTTTTTCCAGAGACAATTATGTTATACTATTCCTGCAAAAGGTTTTAATGATGAAATTATTTCTTTGGTTTGACAACTGAATATCAAGTGACTTTACAGGAATACATAATTAAATTATTTTCCTGAAAAGCTTAAGTTAACCAAAAGATAGACATCATTTAAGTAATATAAGTTTGAATATATTACGTTTATAGAGATAATTGCAAAAGAAAACTATACCAAGCAGGGTATCACAATTTTTTCCAGTGAAATTGGGATCACAGGTGCATGAATAAGTGTCACCGACATCATTACACGTCCCATGCTTACAGGGAGCTGACTTGCAGGCTGAAAAGTAACAAAATAAATCCACTAATTTTACAAAACGAAATTTATCCTAAGTCTCTCTGTGTTTGTATACGAGTAAAAAAAATGATACGCTTTGTTGTGTAGTACACACATGTTCGGTGTGATAACATGGAAGTGCAAATGGAATGAGAAAACAAAATAAATCTGATTTTAAACAAATTTATCGGCTCTCTGTGTTTGTACAATAACCTTTGTGTGTAGTACACACATGCACATGGATAAATGGAATGAGAAAACAATCTAAAACAAATATTGCCAATAACCTCACCATGCAATTCTGTTTGTTTGATTTTGAAACAGATCTGGTCAGGTAAAATATTATTAAGATGTTTGAAGTATGGTCATTTCTGGCGCTGGAAGTCTAGATGTAAAACTTTCGCTAGAAGATCGCCTTTTTGATGCATTTTTACTGATATTTGCACAAAAGCTGCAATGCAAGGAACAATACAATGGCTTTAAGGAACAGGTAAATAAATGCTCACACATTATGAAGCATTGACATACTCCACCATATCGTTATGCAAATTAAACCAGTAGAAAGATAAAACCCGAGTACATCACTAAAGAAGTAAATATAGAGAGGAAACCTGACACTGAATCTATTATTTTTTTTTGAAAATCTCAGTTAAGAAAAACAATTCACTCATAAAGAGAAGTATTTATGGGTCATCTAATAGTTATTTGTACATTGATAACCTGAAGCAAACAAAAAAGGTAAACATATCCGCTAAAATCTATTTACATGTATGTGGAATTAACAATTTACTAGACATCTCATTGACCACACATACATTTAATATCCACCACAACTCAACACTAGAGCAAAATTCCTAGACTTGATCCACTATAACAATTGGGAATATGATTCATAAACAATTTGCCCAAGAGAGCGGCGCTAGCATTAAAAGATCACTCAGTCTGCTCAAACACACTACCTTCCTAGAACACATCTAAATTTGCAGTCCTTCACCAGAAAAATGAAACGTTCTTGAAAGGAGTTAAACAAACAATGTTAAGTTTATTACGAGTCAAAATTATTCATTACGAGTTTGTATTACTGTACAAATTAAATGTTATCCAAATTGTCTCTATTAACCGTACCGCGTCCTTAGAGATACACCCACTACAGTGAGTACTTAGAGAGAAAACAACAAGCTTAAACTCATCTTTTTATATACTTACTCTGACCAACGCTTGTCACTTCCAGAGAAAATCCTTTGCCAGCTGATGCAGATGAAGCGAAAGTACTGTCAAATTTCAGTAACATTGTTGTGGGGTCGCCGTTGTCGGACTTTACATAAACCTCATTAGCGACTGTTCCACAGCGTCTAAAATATCCAGTTCACAGGTAATTAGATAACATTCTTTTCTCTTATAAAAGATTGAGCATCTGTCAATCAAAATTTAAAATATATTTGTATTTTAAAGAAAATATTACAGCTTCTGCCAAGAATGTCTTTATGATTTCAAAGGATTATGAACTATTTTGAAAAAAATGTATTTCAAATCATAATAGTAAATTAAAAAGAGACCCATGGACCACAAAGCTCACCTGAGTAACTTTGGGCCTGCTGTTCTTCACCTGATTTCCCTTAAAATACCTGGTACCTGTTGTGGCCCCGTCCTATCCCCCGGGGGTCATGATTTGAACAATTTTGAATCTACACTACCCCAGGATGCTTCCACATGTTTCGACTTTTCTGGCCAAGTGGTTCTTGAGATTTTTGCAATGACCACACCTTTTTTTCTTGATTTTCTGGGGTTGGCCCTAATTTTAACAATTTAAACTTCTTTTTACTGGGGGATGTTTTGTATTAATTTTGGTTTAAATTGGCCTAGTCGACGTCTGGTTCTCGAAAAGAAGTTAAATTGTGTAAAGTTTACAGACAAACATACAGACAAATCAACAGATGGGCGACGCACAGCGGGTAATCAGAAAAGCTCACTTGAGCTTTCAGCTCATATGAGTTAAAAAAAACCTAAACATCCTGTATATAAATGTTTTACCTAGGTCCTGTCTGTCCTAGCAGGTTATACTGTATCTCTAACCAGTGGCTACACGCTCCATTTTGCGTTGTTAAATCCATCTCCTTTATGGTCATTTGGACATTTCTTCCAGCCGGACCCTGGTTAATTTATAAAATTTATGGACTTATTTTTAGGAATCAAGGTTTTAAGGTAAGTTCATTACATATCTACCTTTAGTACAGATTGTAACAGGAACCGTAAAAGATGTCCCTATAATGGTTTTCTTTATGGTTCTCCATTTCCAAACAAGTCGGCAATACTTTTGCATTATAGATCTACATTTTTTCAAAAGTATTTTTATCATAAATTAAAACAACTAAGATATTTAGAAAAAAAAATTTTAGTTTATGAACAAGGGTTGTTCGGAAAGTTCCTGGACTTCTGTCATATTTTTTTTTATTTACCGTCATATGCATGTTATCAAAACTTGGTAGGATAGATTTATCAATTATTCTAATTTTTAATAAAATCTCAAGATTAATTTCAAACTTATTACGTGTTAAACTGTGAAAATTCCTTCGCAGAGCAGGTCAAAAATTAGTAATTTACGAACAATATCCTAAATTATGTCTGTAGTCATATCCTCTGTAAAATGGCTGTAAACAAAAATAAATCTAGACAATTGAAGTTAACATGGTTCCATATTCCAGATTTTTAACAGTTTGCTTACTTAAAAAGAAATCAAGTTTCGAAGATAGGTAGTCAACAATTAGCTGTATTAATTTAGCCCTCTCCGATTTTTTATCTGATATTTTCTTCAAGAAAAAAGAGGAGGGCTACATTATTGCAGCTATTACTCAATGAAAACAGAAAAAAGGTGACGTTGAAAAATGTCAAGGAGAAGCACTTTACTACACAATTTCTTGTTAAACATCAGAATAAACTCTAAAAATGTTGTAAGAAGCATGAAAAAGTCAAAAGTCATGCATGTGTATAATTTTTATCTAAATGGCACAGGTAGTACTTGAATGATATAAATCTGTTTCAGACAAGGTCGATTTCTGAGGAAACGAATTATCTATAAAAAATTTAACCAAAAGCAATCAGTTTGTAGTCTTGGAAAGAGAAAGACGCTTCATGGTAGCTGATCTTGTGAAAGCAGAGCATGGTAATTAAAAAAGAAAATATTGACAAAAATATGCTACTGAAACAATTTTAAGCAAAATAAATTTCATTTGATGGAGACACGTTTTTAAATAGCAGATATTTGACCAGACTCGAGTGCTCCATAGTTATCAAACATGTTGAATTTAAAATGAAGTAAATTGATTTCTATTAACTCGAATGACAGGAAATTTCACATATCAACAAAACAGATATTTTACACATGACATTGTGCTTTTTTGAATTTCTTGACAGTAGTATAACGTAGATTGACGTCGTCCACGCACTTTTCGAACAACCTTTGTACATGCACATTTATCTAAATCATGCATATTTTCTCATAGTGTTTTATTATTTGTGCATCTCAGAAATACGATTGGGAAAAAATGGTCTCTGGTGAAACTAGAACTTCACTAGTTTGTACTTATAACAATTTTAGGAAGAAAAAAAATAGCACCTTTACTTGAAATTATAGCAACATCAATAAATACCAATTAACTTCATTCATATTAATATTATAATATGAAATAGACGAGTCTTTAGAGAAAATAACCTGAGAGGATTTTATACCCACCTTCACTACCCAGACACAGTTTTTACCAGTGGGATATGGACCTCCATTGTTGAAATTAATCGTTGTTAATGTCTTAGTTTCTCCTGCTGCTAAGTTTATTACACCACCACAAGCTGCAAAACAAAATTCTTTGTATCATAGAGGGTATGACTTTCCATATTCTTTGGGCTCAAAATAAATTTTCTCAAAAAAATTTTGCTAGTATCTGGTGAGACTTATATAGCTAACCAGAAGTATAAGTAAGAAGCACATAGGCCGGCCACAACTTTCACCATCAGCAGATCCTTTTCCTATAGCTAACCAGAAGTATAAGTAAGAAGCACATAGGCCGGCCGCAACGTTCACCTTTGGCAGATCCTTTTCCTATTTATTCCTTTGTAAAACTTTGATGCCCAAATGTAGCCCCAACCCTATCCCAAAGGATTACGATTTGAGTAAACTTGAACATACACTACCACAGGATGCTTCCACATAACTATCATGTATGACTAATCAAGGTTCTGCTGTTCTTATAAAAAAAAATTTCAGTTTTTTCGTATGTATTCCTAAGTAAAACTTTGATTGTCCATTGTGGCTCACCCTACCTCCAGGGATTATAATTTGAACAAACTTCAATCTACGCAACCTGAGAATGCTTCCACATGAATAAAACTGACCCTGGTTTCACTCTCCTTGAGAATTTTTTTTAATATCCTATATATTTCGATGCAAACCTGTGGATGCTTCCACAGAATTATGACCGATTATGGTTTTGCTGGTCTTAAATAGATTTTTCCTATTCATAACCATAATATGTTATATATATATAAATATATATATGTATATATATATATATATATATATATATATATATATATATATATATAAACTTGTTCGAACATATAAGTGCCACCCTAGCCTCTGGGTTTATCATTTGAAACACTTAAATCTATGCTATGTCAGAAAGCTTTCCCAGCAATTTTATAATTTCTGTCCCACTAGTTCTTGAGAATGAATTTTAAAAATTACCCAATTTTTACTGTTGCCAAGTTTGATTGAAATTGGACCAGTTTGTCTAGAGAAGAAGACTAAATTGTGAAAAATTTACGATGATGCCAACGACAACTAAGAGAGCGACAGACAACAGACTTTGACCAGAAAAAGCTTACTTGAGCATTCAGCTCAGGTGAGCTAAAATAAGGTGAACTAATTAAGAAAAGGATGAGTGATCAATCTCACAATTAATCTGCAAACAACATAAATCTCTGAAGAGGTCATGGCCCCGGTAAATTCCTGGGATGTGATCAAGTGTCAAAGAGAAGGAGTGAGCATTTGACTGATCACACTGTCATTTATTGATCTGGTATACGGAATGTTCAAAATCATATAAACAAAGGCCTAACAATTAATATAAAATGTGGCAGCCAAAAGCAAGCCAACGATAGGTTATATTTGCTAACAAAAACATTTAATGACCATAGAATTTAGGAAATGCTGACTTTAAACTAAGTTATTGATATGCATGCAATCAACTTATCTGTCAGTAGCCTGTTTTGCTTTAAAAAAGCTAATAAAACTCAGAGCATGCTCTTGAATTGGGAATAAGTTAAAAGACATAAACACGATATGCAGATGATAGCGGAACATCACTATTAAAATAATGAAATGCAAGTCTTCATTTGTCATATACTGTAGTGGTTTGTTTATCCTTATCGTCTATAGTCTGTAAAACATCCAACTAAACAAAATTGATGGAATTTTAGCTAGACAGGAGTATCTTATGGCCCTATTATCTTTTAATATATTTTCAACAATTATTAAAACGAGACTTTAAGAACAAATTCGTAGGAGGAATAAGATTTTGGTTGGACTTTATAGAAACCTTTTTAAGCTTAGTTACCATGGCAATGCTGTGAAAATCAAACAAAACTGTATACTGAATTCTATTTTTCTTACAGACGTTGCTTTATAATATTTTTAATGACCAAGTGGACTTGCATGGAAAGTTCGAGTATACTGTGACAAAATGCAGGGCAATGGGTAAAGTACACAAAGTTGACCGATTGAGTCTTAATATTATTTTACCTGGATCAATTACAGGCGTTTAACCGATTGAGTCTTAATACTATTTTACCTGGATCAGTTGTAGGTGTTTGACCGATTGAGTCTTAATACTATTTTACCTGGATCAGTTACAGGTGTTTGACCGATTGAGTCCTCAATACTATTTTACCTGGATCAGTTACAGGTGTTTGACTAATTGAGTCTTAATAATATTTTACCTGGATCAGTTACAGGTGTTTGACCGATTGAGTCTTAATAACATTTTACCTGGATCAGTTACAGGTGTTTGACCGATTGAGTCTTAATAACATTTTACCTGGATCAGTTACAGGTGTTTGACCGATTGAGTTTTAATAACATTTTACCTGGATCAGTTGTAGGTGTTTGACCGATTGAGTCTTAATAACATTTTACCTGGATCAGTTACAGGTGTTTGACCGATTGAGTCTTAATATTATTTTACCTGGATCAGTTACAGGTGTTTGACTAATTGAGTCTTAATAATATTTTACCTGGATCAGTTACAGGTGTTTGACCGATTGAGTCTTAATAACATTTTACCTGGATCAGTTACAGGTGTTTGACCGATTGAGTCTTAATAACATTTTACCTGGATCAGTTACAGGTGTTTGACCGATTGAGTCTTAATAACATTTTACCTGGATCAATTACAGGCGTTTAACCGATTGAGTCTTAATACTATTTTACCTGGATCAGTTGTAGGTGTTTGACCGATTGAGTCTTAATAACATTTTACCTGGATCAGTTACAGGTGTTTGACCGATTGAGTCTTAATAACATTTTACCTGGATCAGTTACAGGTGTTTGACCGATTGAGTCTTAATAACATTTTACCTGGATCAATTACAGGAGTTTAACCGATTGAGTCTTAATACTATTTTACCTGGATCAGTTGTAGGTGTTTGACCGATTGAGTCTTAATAATATTTTACCTGGATCAGTTACAGGTGTTTCACACAGTGTTCCAGTCAGCCCCCCAGGACAATGACAATCACAGGTATGTAGGACAAATCCTCCGTTCTGACACTGCTTCAGGGGTTTTGTGCACAGTTCTAAAATTAAGCATGAAGTGATAGTTATTATTTCACGTACATATCGAGTCTGTCTATTAGAGATGATGGTCAATTGAAACCACAAAATGTGTGTAGGCATTTGTAGTTTCTGTTAAAAATACCTTAAAAACCGAATTATCATTAAAATCAATTTAAAACTAGTAATATTTGTCATGTGTTCGAAATTAAAATTAAAAAACAATAACAAATGTTTTCTGTTCTGAAACTTGAGGCCCTGTCACACCGAGCTCCGTTCACACGGAGTCATTACGGCGTTGTTAAATTTTTTAAATCGCCGTGAAATCGCAGGAAAATTGCACAATTTTCTGTAAATTTTCACAATATGAAGATGTCATGGCGTCCCTATGGCGACGGACGCGATTCTACGGCGATCTCACGGAGTTCCCACGGAGATCTCTCGGCGATTGACTGCGCTTACGCAGAGTTTTCACGGCGCGTTAGGAGTTTTCACCTCGTGTTCACGGCGTTCTCACTGCGCTGGCTGCGTTCTCAATACGTTCACAATGCGTTCTATACTCACTGATATATTTTCAGAAGGAATGTAAAACATTTTTGTTTTACGATTCAAGTTACACGATGAAAAGACTTCTAATCATGCCAAGAAATATTCTTAGTAATTAAAAATATTCTATTTAAATAATTAAGTACTAAATTTTTATTAGTTTTATGATTAAACTTCTTTTTTCTATTTTATCGGTTCAGATGTGTTGTTAGATTTTCTTTGATTTTATTATGAATGTAAATAAAAATAAACACACTGAAAAGTTTTTTTTTTTACAATATTTAAGTGAAACAACAGAAGAATATCTGGTGTAATTTTCTCTTCCATTTTTTTTTTCACTGAAATGCTCCTAGTGCAACAAATACGTTGGAATTATTGCTGATCAAAATATGATCTCATTGCTCTTGTTTTGCGAGCTGTCTGAGAACGCCCTAACAACGCCGTGAAAGCGCATTGTGATCGCCAACGGACGCTGTAGAAACGCCATGGGAGCGCAATGATCGCAGTGACAACTCCGTGCTGTCACAGTGTAATCGCAGTCGAAAAAATCACAAGACGATCAAAACTCATTAGAAGCGCCGTAAAAACGCGATAGAAACGCAGTGACATCTCCAAGGACTCCGCGACATCTCTGTGAGGTTTCCTGCGTTCGTACCGCGATCATGTGCGTCTCCACGGCGTTTGTACGGAGCTCCCACTACGTTGTTGGAGATCTCACCGCGCTGCTACAGCGATCATACTACGTTTCTACTGTGTTTAAGACAACTTTGTGCATGCCCAAAGTGATCGCCGTCCACTGGCGTGCTAGGAGACCCTATGCGACCCTACGGCGTTCAGTGGAGATCTCGCAGCGTTGTCACGGCGCTGTAGGAGACTCTACTGCGATCACCTCGGTGTTTTGCTTTTTTTGAGGACGCCGTGCAGTCGCCGTGAGGACGCAGCCCTAGTGTGACAGGGGTTTTAGAGAGTCAATTCTTCAAAGTAGCTACGCAAGAAATTTATAGTTTTATCCATATCGATCAAATATGGTTTACATGAATAAACTAAACTCTCTCAAAGATTATGGGATAGATTAACATACGAAGAGTCGTGTGTTAACAATTATAATTCTAGATTCACCTGAGTCATTACAATAAATTTATCCTGTTTTAAATTATCTCCTCTAAAAAATGGTCGGGCTCTTCGTTTACCAAACTCAAGTTTCTAGTTTGCAGTTCGATTGCATTCTGAACGAAGGTAAAACATTTTAAAAGTGTAACATACAAACAACACAAAAGTTGCTACAATAGCTCATTCTTACTAGTGCAATCATATGCATCAGTAATGTCCTGGATGTCGTAAAACATGAGGCCAGTTGCAGAATCAGCCAAGAAATTCAATCGGCGGTCACTAAACTCCATCGTCGGCTTGCCATTATTTGAGAATGCCTGTATCAAAATGACAATTATATCTTAAGGATTCTGTGTATTATAGACTGAAAGCACATGTTATAATTATACAAAAAGGATAAAAAAAATATTGCATGTGATTTTTTTTCTTGAACCGTTATAGAATAAAGCATCTGAAATGTTATTTGAAACAAAATGAGAAGGAATTTACATCGATGATGGGTTTTTTATAAGAAAAAGAATGAATGAACAGACCGTTAAACTATACTGAAGCACGGACTCGTAGTCATACGGGTTATAGTCATGGGTAGAGCTCTTTGCCATGTTAAAGTTGTCTCTTCCACCTTGTGTATTCGACCATAACATGGTGACATGATTATCACGGTCACTTCGGGATTGTTCATGCATTTGGCCTATAGCATGTGTCATCTCATGGACTGTTGTAGAAACCTATAATTTTAATTCAATTTTTTTTTTCATGAGTATCAGACAAAAAAGGAAGTGGAATAACATTTTGAACTAACCAATCTCTGTTAAATTTATTCTACATATTTCAAAAATAAAACTTATAAAAACAAAAGGAATAAACAATGAGCATTACTGAAACACATCCAGGGTCCCTAAGGCTAACTTGTTGTTTTCCAGAAAAAACTTTTCCAACGTAAGACCAACATCCACTGTAAATAAAATATAGGTATTATATTAAAGATACGTCACGTAACTTTAAACTAGGAATATAAATTAGATATTTCGTTTTTATCCCGATGTGTCAAAGCATGGGATCATCATAAAAAAATATTGTCATTTATATTTCAATCAACTCAGTGAACCGTGGATACTTCGACTTTTACTTATATATATATATATATATATATATATATATATATATATATATATATATATATATATATATATATATATATATATATATATATATATACTCGTATGTATTTTTTGAAATTTCGGCTAACATATATTGAACCATACAAAGACATAAGGGTTTCACCAGTACTTAATTATATAAAACGGATTTGAAAATTCAATATACAATATATTCCATCAATACTTATTGGTACCAGAGAAATATCTTCTCTCAAAAACAAACATTGATAATAACAGCAAAAATAAACTTATATAAATAATTATTATGCTTCCTGTCAGTTTGTCTCTATATAACCCATACCCTACTATTCTCGCATAGTGGTCTAAGGATTTATATAGCGTTAACATACTATGCCGAAATAGTGCACGGCTTTGTTAACTGAATAAAATTCTTCAACGCACACGCCGGGGATCGAACTTACGACCTAGAGATTGTCAGTCCCATACGCCACAGAGACGATCACTGAATAATGGAATTTTATTAAATATATAAACTTAATTAATACAATTGACACAAGAAGGAAAGAATAGACAAATATTATTTAAAAACAGTTATATTATTCAAAGGGACCTTAGATTAATGCCTACAACAAAGTTTCAAACTAATTACATACAGATCGTTAGATGAACTGATTTCATAGGGTCATTAAAACGCTTTTTATATGACGCTTGTTGAAGGATGTAAAAGAAAAATGAGAATCGACGTCTGCAAACTAAGATGAGTTGCTTTGGCACAGAAAATCCCGACTTATTTAGAGAAAATACTAGTAACCAAAGTAACTAAGCATGTAACCAATTTTAGCATGAAGATTTTGAATGAGTTCTTGCAAGTGCGCTGTGTTAGCAAAATTTTCAGGAAAAAGACAAATGGATTGCATAAATAATTACAACAGTCAGCATAATAATAACAGTGTTGCAAATAATAATTTCATTTTGATATAACCATGTGTCAAATGCCTACTATTTAGGCATAGTACATGCATAATGCAACACTATTATATAAATATAGCATTTATCATGCAAGAGCCAAAAAAAAATGTACGTACTCTCCCGAGAAGAACTCGATGTAGGAACCATGCGTAACTTTCTTGGCATCGTCGGAGTCTTTGGGAACCCATTTCAAACACGTGTAGTCGTCAAACTGTTTAATTCCTTTATTTATAATGTCCACGTTTCTTTGTTTGCTAGCTGAAAGAAGAAAATTTCAAACAATTTTTATGGATAATCTAACTTGTCTCAATGTGGTTTTACAGAAAAAGTGCTTAACTACATGTATTAGCAAATTGGTAATTAAAAAGCTGGTTAGCCCCTACCCCCATCTCGACCATGTTTCAGCTATCAGTTAGAGGTTTGTAGTACTAGCGTACGAAGAATGGATAAGACTTACGGCTAAAATAAGTAGAATTAGCCCCCATGCAAGGATACTTTTGAAAGTTTATTGTATAATCAGTTTAAGAAATTTCAAACATTTCCTTTAGAATTAATAGAGTAATACTTTTTAGCAAAACATTGCTTTCTCTGTAGCATAACTTTGAGTTCTAAACACTTCAGTCAAAAGACAAATCTAGCTGATTTCATCAGGTTTGAGATAAAGAAGATGGGCGCATTTGGCGTGTGATCTGCAGGAATCATTTATACAAAACATTTATGGTTTAAATGTCCATGATTTGGTTGGCTGAACATAGCCGGTCAGATTTTTCAAACACGTCCAGGTTTTTTTTTCATTTAGTTTGAAAGACCTTGTGAAATTGTAACATTTATGTCCTTTTTCCTTGGGGGTACTATAACATATTAATGTTTCACAAAAAATAAACACCTAAAATATTTAATGCATCGATGCATGATACGTCTACATGTACATTATAGAATAGAATATTTGGAATTGATTTCGCTCGAGAACCAAATTGAACCGAAATTTATCTAATTTAAAATTTTAATACATCAGTACATAAAACGAAACTGAAAAAATAAATGTTTGCATGCAAAAAAAATTAACGCCCCATCCCAGGCTCGAACCAAAAAATTTTTCGCTTCGAGCACACTGAACAGGTAGTCCTACTTAATGAGCTATCACCGCTACACATACATCATTTAAAAGGGACAAAGAAGCACCACATTCACACATTTGGATTTTTGGGAAAAAGTTCATTTTTCGTTGTCTCTGGGTCTTCTCTCCATTTTTAAAAAATGTGTATTCGTTTTTTTTTAATTAAAATACACACAAATAACGTTTCAAAATCATGGAGAGAAGACCCAGAGATAGAAAATTTTTAGAAAAATGTGTTTTTAAATGTACCATTTTGTACCAAATGTCTGATCTGGCCAATTTTCAAGTTATTTTTTAGCAAATCAAAGCTCAATTTCGGGAAAATATTTTCCTTTTCTGTTGCACAGGAACCCGATAAATAAAAAAATTATAAAATTTCATGTGACATGTCGATATAATTTTTACTTTTCAATTACGCCCAGATTCCAGCCGAATGCCAATCAAAAGCGCCCTCCTTCTTTGCTTTATTGCAGTACGTGTATATAATCAATAAATGCACTATTGATATTTGATTGAAATCGTACATTGTACAACGCACCTCTGCTTCACATATGACTTACATAAACTGGTGTCGATTGTGTATGGAATAATGTTATCTGGCCAAAGTGGAGCCGATTTTAAGAAATTTCTCCTTCTTCTTCCACCACCCTAAATAAATAAGAAAAGTTACATGTAACTTGAATTCATACAATTATGAGCGATAAAAAGCATTTTAATATATCAATAACAATATCTATTGGTTGTCCAATTTATAGATATTAATAATACAGATTTTTAACTGAAAAAATAGTTTTAAACAAAAGAACCATAGGTGTTTGAAACCGGGGGGGGGAGAGCTAGCACTTTTTTTTGCAAGGATAGACATAATATAGGCATTGGACATTGGGGCGTAGGTTTACCCCCCCCCCCCTCCTTTATACAGGCATGTTGCAGTGTAGGTCAAAAAGGGTAAGTCTGGGGGGAAAATAAATACTGAAAGATCGACAAAACATAAATTAGACATTACTAGTATTTCAACCAAAACAAAAATATTTATAAACCGGTATAGCACGCTGAACAAGCAAATGAAACATGCCAAAATTGTTGTCATTGAATACATCCACTGTATGTTATTACACTTCCGTCTTATCAAATGTTATTTTGAAGGAAAACGATTAAAAAAAAATCCATATTATCACAAGGAAGTGGAGGTCTGCAGGTTTGAAATGATGACATAACTTTCATTAAAAATCAGCAGAAAAATTTGATTACTAATAATTAATTTTTGAATTCGCTGACTTACATTTTTCAAATCATCCAGTTGTTGCTGTGTGAGTCTGTGATTGTCGTGGGTGTCACCGTAGACTTTTCCTTTCTTAAGAGCTATCTTGTCAATACCATCAGGCTGAAATAAAAATGATGTATCATGTATTTATGTTACTATATTAATTAAACGATGTACTTGTATGTTAAAAATATGAATATTTATGATTATATAAATTGAACTATCCATAGATAAACTGTGTCTGCTATAAATTCTTCTGCACTTAGATTCTTTGTCATGTTGCAGCTTTCGATTTTGACTTCCTTCTCTTGTGTGTAAACTCTTTACACATGCCTAGCTTCAGCGGCTCCAGATTGGTCTTAATGAATTACCGGGTATACCTTCTTACTCGATTATATATAGATTTACATGTCTCTTTGTATCTTTTTGAAATCTCATCCGGTGCCTTCATTTCACAGAGCTCTATACATGTGCGTGCAGAATATTCATTTATTCAACAATGAAACAAAAAATGTGGAAACAAAGATTACAGTTAGGATAGTTTAGATCCTGGAGTGTTTCAGGGACTTAGTGTAGATTTAGACATACGTGTAGATTGTGACTTACGTGTAGATTGTGACTTACGTGTAGATTGTGACTTACGTGTAGATTTTGACTTGCCTGTAGATTGTGACTTACGTGTAGATTTTGACTTACGTGTAGATTGTGACTTACGTGTAGATTGTGCCTGTTTCCCTCATCTACAAACATACTCTCTAGAAGATTAACCACGTCAGAATCGGGGTCAACGTTACCCTGAAAAAAAAAATAAGCATGGCTCTAAACAAAATCAAATAGCAGATCTCATTTAAAAGTTCGATTATGAATAATTGTAAGTGAATAAAGCTTTTCTGAGATTCTCGTTTAGAAACAATTAAAATGTGTTATTAAAAGTACAACCTGTTGATCAATGATATACTGTATTTATAAACCGTAAATGTTTCAACTTTATAAACCACATGGTTTTGGAACTATTGTAAAAATGAATTTTTGGGCCTTTGGTAAAACCTTAAAAACTTTTGGAAAAAACATATACATTTATATGGTGTTTCATGAGGTTTTCAAAGCTGTTATGTGTAACTGAAAAACTATAAAGCAAATTAGTAATGTTATTCTCTGCTTTCATTTTAAATGCTTAAAATTAATTAAGTCAGCATAATCTGTGGTTAATTAATTTAAACATATAAATTAGTTACATATAGACAAAAGCGAATGTTTAAATGTAAAACAACGTAACACGTGCTTCAAATGCTTAATTCTACTACGATTATTGCCGAGATCAAAGAAATGATGCGGACATTATTCTCCATTAAATCACGAACATCATCAAAAAATCATCAGATCAGAAACACGTATCAAACCTGTGCAGTTGAAATGTACAAATAGGAAACCGATTTTGTTATTGATATTCAAATAGATTTATCTAAATAAGCTACAAACAGATTTATAATTAATAAAAGGCTAATTACAATGCAGCGAAAGCACAAATCGTCTGCATTCTAAACAAATTTACACTCCGGTGCTAAAAGGAACAGCGTAATATCAACAAGGTGACCTTATTCGTTTCTCTATAGAGAAACGATCAGTCGTATTAATATTTTAGAGCTGCTTAGTAGAATAGAAATAAAGTCCTGTTGTTGTGAATGATGCAGAATAACCTCCGAGGTCAAGAAATATAGTCTGAAAGATAAAAGCCGAGCCTAACGCCTCGGCTTTAATCTGTCAACATTTCTCGACATCGGAGGTTATTTTCACGAAAACGCGGACTTTATTTCTTAAATAAGTGCAGGTTATTCTTTGAAAAATATTTTAGACTTTACTTACCGGATGCTTTTAGGATAAAAAAAAGAACAATTGGATAACTCAAATAGAGCAGTAATTGATTAATCAATCTTGAGGTGTACAGGGTATCTTCTTCCGGCTACATATAGATTGATTGATTATATATTGTTTAACGTCCCTCTCGAGAATTTTTTTCACTCATATGGAGACGCCACCACTTGCCGGTGAAGCGTTGCAAATTTTGTCCTTTACTCGGCACTTAGGGCCATTGAGCAGGAAGGGATCTTTTTCGTGCCAGCACTTACTGCGACACGGGACCTCGGTTTATACGGTTTCATCCGAAGGAACGGTTTCCACGTCCCACACTAGGATTTGAACCCGCGACGTAAGGATCAACTCCTTACTTTGCGACTCTAGAGCAGACGCTCTAACCACTGCGCCAAGCGGGCGACTACTTCTAGATTGAGGTTTCTGCTTTCTGTCTTTTCCTACCTTGAGAGCATCATCTATTAGTTTAGCTCCGTCTCTGTAGTTGCTTCCCTTGTCATTGTCTTCGTTGTCGTCTTCGCTTTCTTCATTTTCTTCTTCCAATTTTCTTAAAGCTCGGAGCAACAACTGATCAATATCTTCCTCTTCCTCTCCGAAATTGTCTGCTGACCTCTGGAGAAAAAAAATATTACTTTTATGAAAACAACGTAAATCAATATATACACGCAAACGCCTCAAGAGCATCTTATTCAATTTTTACCAAGGAATAATTTTTGCATAATTTTTTTTTTCTCAAAGAAAGATCTTATTTCCTAAACAAATCTACACAAAAAAGTCTAACATTTCTAGTGTTTTAATGAGCAGACATTCAAAAATCGATGTTTCACCGCTGAGTGAGATGTTTGACCTGTCGATGAGATGTTGGACCGCTTACGTCACACAATGGGCGGAGCTTGATTTCATTTGCATTCGTTGATGTTTAACGGTTAGTGACAGGCCTTAGGTTTACATCACAGTAGACAGTACAGGATACATGTATGTCAAAAAATATGTTTGAAAAAAAAGGTACAACAAAACATTTATTGACTGTGTTCTCGGGCAAAATGCATTTTGTCGACCCTCGAACGAAAGTGTCTGCCTTCGACCTAACGGCCTCAGGCAAACTGTTTGGTTCTAAGGTCCGACAAAACGCATTTTGCCCTCGAACCCAGTCAATATAAATCTATAATTCTTATCTCAAGAAAAAAAAAACCCTCACCTTGGAGACGTGTGATTCGTGCCTCTGTCTGAGATCGTTAAGGATCCGTCTCGCCTCTGTTCTACCAACGACTGTAAATGTAAGAAATTATAAATCTTGATATATAAAATGCTTAGTAATTCTAATTCAGGCATGTAGCAACAGGGGGGCCTGCCCCCCCCCCACTTTTTTTGCCAACATTACCTTTACTATTGAAAATGTCCATTGAAAGGTTGGTTGCCCCCCCCCCCCCCCACTTCATACCATAGCATAGTGATATCAAGGAAATGTAGTATTGTATGCAAAAGAAATTGGAAGTGGAAGGAAGTTGGCCTTGAAAAAACAGTTGTCCACTACTGGCAAGTAAGCTCAAACAGGTATTTACGAAATTTCCTAGAGGTAAGATCATCTTTATAAAAAGATGTTCTGTTGCCCTCTTTGTTTTGTTTTGTGAGTCGGGAGAGGGCAAGTAAACATTATTTTAAAAGTGGCCTTAGCTTGGGGGAGCTAACGTTTAGAATTAACAAAGGTGAGTAAATGAGTACTTGTAATACCGTATGCGCAAGTACATTTTTGAGTAATAAAACGTTATCATAGGTGTCGGAAGCAATTTGAAGGGGGGGGACTATAAGATGGGATGGCAAAAACCAACAAAAAAGGCGAGACCGAATTTTCAATGCCTACCGGTATATTATGTCTACATGTATGTATCTGCGAAAATCCCCCGTTACGACGCCTATTGTTAGTCAAGGCAATCTTTAAAAATACTTTCTTTCCTCTCCCGACTTATTAAGACATTAGGTACATATGTAGTGGGGATATTTTTTTCTTTTATTTATATGTATCTGTAAAATTAATTTGTAAACTTTTGCAAATATTGCATACTCTGTAAACTTTCTGTTTAACCGTAAAAATGTGCAATTTACATGTAGGGAGTGGGCGTACCCTAACAAAAAAATACTACAGTTAACTATAGTAAATAAAAGTGTTAAAGTTATCACTGTAGTAAATCAAAGTTTTCACTAAAGTCTCAAAGTGTTCACTACAGTAAATCAAAGTTTTCATAGTTATCACTATAGTAAATCAAAGTGTTCACTTTAGTAATTCAAAGTTTTCATAGTGCCAAAGTGTTCACTAACGTTAACTATAGTTTACAATAGTAAACTATAGTTAACTATAGTATTTTTTGTAAGGGTAATAAGATTTAAGAACGTGTGCTCAAAGTTTTTCCATAGTAAATCAAAGTTTCCAAAGTGATCACTATAGTAAATTAAAGTTTTGATAGTTATCACTATTGTAAATCAAAGTGTCAAAGTTATCACTATTGTAACTCAAAGCGTGCACTTTAGTAAATCAAAGTTTTCATAGTGCCAAAGTAGTCACTGTAGTTAACTATAGTAAACTATACTTAACTATAGTATTTTTTTGTTAGGGCTAATAAGTTATAAGAACGTGTGCTTAATCCCTTGATTTGTAATTATGAATTACAATAAAGTATGTTGAAATCATTCATTCTTGGCAGCGGGAAATATGTTCATGGGTAGGGCAGTATTAATGTGTTGGATGGGTGTGCGAAAACAATATTCACTTTTTATAACATTTAATTTACACCAAGACCATACAAAAATCTTATCACAGAAAAGAAAATGTTAAAATTAAAAAACAAGTTATTTTTCATTCTAAATTCTTAAATGATCAAATCCAATGACAGGGAAAGACGTATAATTTATATTCTATCGTAATACCGACCCTAAAACCCGTTTGTGGGTTTAAAAAAATAATTGACTGGGAAAAGACCAAGAGTAACACATCAGTCAGTTATTTTTGTTTTCCTTTTCTCCTTCAGATTACTAAATCCAAACATTATTTGACCCATGAAAAACAAAACCTTCTTTGAATTACTAAAATGTTATTGTGACGTCTTATACTGTAGACAATCGAGAAAAGCTTATCTCTGACAGAAGTAAACAAAAATTAAAGGCCCCGAGGGCGGGATTACCAGTTTTTGTTTAGTCTGACAATTAATTACAAATAAACGACGTCTTTGTACGTTAAATCAATTTCTAGCTTTGATTGGAAGCATGCAAAAATGTTTTTCGTTATAATACTGACATACACACTACTTGCATGCGCGGATCTAGAGGGGGGGTCGGGGGGGGGGGGGGGGGCCCCGGTTAAGAGTTGCGTATATACTAAAACAAGAAAAAAGTGACCATGGACCCCCCCTGGAAAACTCTGACCCCCTCTGGTAAACGTGAATATGTGTAAAATGGTTATGAAAAGTGAAAGATTTGAGGCAATAGAAGTCACCCGAAATAGGTGTTTTTTGATGTTTGGGCAAGTTTGTTTGTTTTTTTTTTGTTTTTTTTTTTTTTTTTTTTTGTCAAGAAATTTCTGGGATTGAATTTTTTTTTTTGACTGGGGTGGACCCCCCCCTGGAAAAAATTTCTGGATCCGCGCCTGACTTGGGTCCGAAGAAAATAATTACGTTATTCTAATAATAACAGTAGTCACGGAAGATTGAATAATTCGTCCCGTAGATATTTTGGTTGATTGAAATTAATGCCCCAAGTTATATCTAGGGATAAAAATTTACGGGACATCAGCCTTTTTCAGTACTTGTGGTATCTAATTAATATATCCTATATATTAAATACAATCTCTCATGAAATATTCATGTACATGTAGTAAACTTACAAGTTATTCCAAATCGTAGCTGTAAATGATATTATGTATATGTACATCTCAAATGTAAAATTCTCCAACTTGCTCAAGACTACAACCTATATATAACTCATTACAGAAAAGAATTTGAAAACCGTTATTTTTTTTAATATATCAGAATGATGAAGGTTAAAGGTTATTTACATTAAACAAGTTAAGGTTCTCTGACCCTGTTCTGAAAGTCAGACATTGAATAATTATTGAAAGGACGCACAAAAATGTCTCTGAATTCTCAGCATAATGCGTATTCACACACAATAATTCTTCAAACTCGTGTCCTCTACAAAAATTTGAATTTTTCAATTAAAATTTATTTTAATTGATGAAAAATTCAAATTTTTGAAGAGGACACTCATCTTTAAAATTATTCATATTATGTAAGGGAAATTAGTAAATCTTAAAGAAAGAGGGCGTACAAGGCGTGGACAATCCCCCGCTCTTAGATAATACATGAATGTTTCTCAATCTTTAAAATTCACGGGAAAGTTACATTTTTCTAAAATCATGTTCTCAGTAATGTCATCTTCAAAACATTTTATTATTTTATTTTACTGAACGGCTTATCATTTAGCAATCTTTTGTGTGGAAAATGGGTTTACTAAAGCCATAAAAATTTATTTTGAACATGAATGGGTCAAGTCTCCATATTCTTCGTTAACGCTTAAATGATGGAAACGTAAATGTGAAATCTATTTCATTAGCCCAAAAAATGGAATTAAAACCCATTTCATATGAAAATTAAATATTTCTGAAAAAGTGTACTCTTGAACAAACGGGTTAAATCACATTGACAGACATCGACAACATAATAATATACATCGTAGCGTAGTGGTTATCGCTGTCGGTCTAGCGCAAAACCTGTGCTATGGGAGAAAGTTTGAATCATATGTGAAGCTTTTTCATTTTTGTTTTCACATACTTTTTGAGTGGAAAATAAATTATTAATAAAATATTCAAACAATGAAAATACAGTTAAATATGTAAAAGACAGGGACGTACCAACATTACCTTTACTATTGAAAATGTCCATTGAAAGGTTAGTTGCCCCCCCCCCCCCCCCCTTTACCACAGTTTAGTAATATGAAGGAAATGTAGTAATGTGTGCAAAAAAAATTGGAAGTGAAAGGAAGTTGGCCTTTAAAAAAGTTGAATAGGGTTTTCTAGTTTGGCCAAATTTCTTTTTTTTTTTTTGATTGTCAACTTTATCAGGTAAGTAAAAATGTTTTTCTTTTCTATGGTTGCCCCCCCCCCCCCCCACTTTCAAAAACGATTCTACATGCCTGAAAGAGAGTATAAACCATATAATTTTAAAAAATAAAAATCCAGGCTTTTGAAGGAATTGCATAATATTTTCATATAAGGTACATGTACTTTGTTTTCTTCTGTTTACTTCAATCATTTGCGATGCATAGTGTATAAAGATTTTCCTATCATTACAAAACACCATAAATTACTTTAATTTAATAAACATTTATGGGGTAAAGATTTCGACTTTTTATAAGACCTTTCTGAGAACTTCAAAGAACCCTTGCCTGAAGGATATTGAGAGGTATAAAATGAAAATTGTTACATGAAAAGATCTTACATTGTATTTTTAAGTTTCATTAAGACTTTTTGAATTTTGATTTAAATTTTGAATTAACCTTCATGACTGGCGATCGGAGTAAATGTACCTTAACCAAAAATTTTGGATGTCTTGCGCAACAGAGAAGGGTGTTTTTTTTTTCACTTGGCAGTGGTAAACACTTTTTTTCCCTATTGCATTGCACATTTAAGACATCCAACAACATTTATTACCCGCTTTAAAACCCCTTTATGGAAAAAGAAGGATTAAGTCTCGTAACCTTACAACATGTCAAAGAATCACGCAGCATGAAAACAATGAAGTAATTTTACTTCCGCAATATCGGTGCGCTGCGCGATTGATATTCGATCTATATATATTTGGTAGGATTGGGACGTCACGAAACGATTAGGTATTCTTTTTCCTCACGAAATGCAACTTTCTAAAGATAAGGTATTTTAATGACTTAGCGAAATTGAAATCGGGTCTTTAATGCAATTTTTTAATTAGATTTTTTGTTCAACTTGTGACATTTAAGACACACGCCATCTTGTCTTTTTTATTTATATACAGCATTTCTAGATTTCAATATCAGTATTAAAGACGTAGTATCGAAGTGGGGGGGTCCAATTTTTTCAATTCTAATTTTAACCTTTATTGTTTGCACTGACATTTTGGTTGCAGTTTTCTGGTATTTTATTAATAAAAAATGTTTGTGACCACCCCTCGGAAAAAAGTTAATTTTAGTCAAGACTTAGGCAATTTTTTTTTTCGCTACCCCTTTCAAAAATGTTACAACTTGCCTATTATATAGAGTGTATGCTACATAATTTTTCATAAATCGATAGAAAATTCTAAAAATTAGAAAATTCATTATCTTTTTACTAAAATTTGAAAATATAAACATATAAACGCTTGCCAAACATTTAAAATTTTAATTATTATAAATCAACTTTCTTTTAAAATTCTATATTAAAGCAATCATATACCAATGCACCTCATTCTCCTTACGTAATACTTACTTTTATTCCCGTCTGTGTGCGCATGAACTGCAAGGCATTGCAGGATGACAATGGCCAGCAAACTCAACACCCTCATATTGGTTCCCATCTTAGCTGCAATGGGTAAATGAAATTTTAAACAGAACTGCCTCTTTTTTATATGACGAAAAACGTTCATGCGCATGTAAGTATTTTGGGGCTTACAATGCAAGTTTTTGTTTCGGGTTAAAGTGAATTTTGTTTGGGTATCGAGTCAGTTTTATATACCTACGTGGGTGGATCGTAGGTCACGCAAATTGGGTTTCATGATATGTATGTACGTAGAATCTTACAAAAGTTGGTATGTCAATCCAGTGTATCCCGGGGGGTTGTTCCGTCAGTGTCCAGTTAAGTGGACAGAACTTTAATTAAATTAATTCACGTCAGCTTAACAGTTTGATAAACATCTCGGCCGCGAAGACCATGCTCGTCAATAAGATTCGAGTTTTCTGTTTCACTGCTTAAGATTGTCAAGGGATGTTATTTTACCAAACAAACACTATAAAACTCCCCAATACTGAAAAAGTTACGCGTGTTGTTTTTCGTGACAAGTACAGATCTTTTCTTCAAAGTAAAAGGCAGTCTGGTAAATAAATTTCAAAATTTGAAAAACAAATTATTAAAGTTTTATAAAATTATCTTTATGGAGCTTATTACGAAGAACTATAGCTAGTATCATTATTTAAAATCTTTTTTTCAGACATAACTTTAACGATAGAAAATTTAGGTATTAATCAAGAATGATGATTTTATATTAGCAAGATTTATTTAAAATTCTGTATCAAGGTCGGTCTGTACTTTTCAAAATTTTCTGTCAAACTGATATTTTTTAATTTGAATACCCTGAATAAGTCATAAACTAACTGAAACATCCATTAAAGGCATGTCTCATACCTCTAAGAATTCAACAGCCAAAACTGAACATAAAGAAATGTAAAATCAAATTTATTTCGGAATTCACCAAATCACATCAAATTTATGTTAAACCTTATGAAAATCAAAAATATTCATTTGCTAAGAGAATATTTGAAATCTTTAGTTCAAAACATTAAAACATTGCTGTTGAATCTGTCCACGTCTTTAAGAAAAAAAAAAATCTCAAAATATCTTTATTTTTATAATTCTCAATCCTCCAAAACTTGGCTGAAAAATTGCCGACTCGGCGATAAACAATTATACAATCAATCAACAGATCCAATTGATTCTCAAAATCTGATTACTGTTTATATGATATTTTGTCTTTAAAACTATTAATAATTATATTCAAGGTTAACAAAAACACATTATTATGGTTGACCGAATAAATTTAACAAAACAACATTTGAACACGTATACCCCCATTTTTGGACTATCAATTTTTTAACCATTCTCTGCATCATTAAAAATAGCAAAATTTAAAAAGATGATATACTAGTAGGCCTCAAATGAATAAAAATAGATTTCAAGTTATAATTTTTTTTTACTATGAAAGCTTAAGGTCCATAAAGACAATTAAGAATTTTGTGTCTATGTATGTGCTATATGACATGTAAATCCTATGAACATAGTGCAAAGTGTTAATTTCCATAATGTATATCAAATGCTTTGTCTTCACAAGGACACTAAATCTTTTTAAATTATTTTCATAGCACATGTATCAGTCGAACACGTGCTTACTCGGTGTTTATGTAGACCGTCAATTTAATTCGCTACTATATTTATGGAATACCTGTTCAACAGGTATTCATTTGACCGATTTTTCCTTTCTAAAGAAATGGGCGTGTCTAAAGATACATGTAGCTCAAAACGTTCCATCCAAACGGAAAATTTTACCACTTCAATGCGCTTCATTGTATTAAAATACTATCCATTCTTTCCAAAACATCCATATTCAATATGATAATTTGTGATTATTTATTTTAAATCACCGATAAGTTTAATAGGTCAGGTACTAAAATTGTAAAATGGCACCGACATCGCGCATAACACCATTTAGACGAGTGGTCTTGCCTGTTTTCAGAATCCTATTAAGTATTATTTTTACCAATAACTCATCTTTATTTTCCTTAACCACTGTTAACAAATGTAGATTCAATTCAAAAACTTGCTCCCCTTTTAACGCGATTCCATTTATGGTTTTATGTGTCTCTCAAACAATTGACAGGTTTTTTTGGCACGTGATAACGACTCGGAGAAATACGCATGATATTCGACTAACAATACTCGCAAAATCTAAAAATACATGACCTAGACAAAAGAAACTTAAACAGATTTCTGAGTATATATATATCGCTTAAATATAATTCCATAGCACTGATTGTATTAATGTATTTACAAAAGAAATGTAATGATAGCTTGTCTACAAACTACACGTGCAGAACATACCTTCCTGAAGGCGGAATGCTCTAGAAAACCAACAGGGTTATTTTCTCGACTACCAAGGCCTTATATACCCTAAATAACAGACCAATCAAATCCGAGGAGACAACCGAGGTTTTATCCAACCAGATAACAGCTTTCCTGCATGTACTGGGAGGTATTTTGAAAGCTATTCACAACTCATCCCGCAGATCAAATCAGTTCAGTTAAATACAATGTATATTACATCTTTGTTTATTAAACACTAGAAATAACGAAAACGATACAAATCAAAACCTTCAGAATTTACAAAAATAAGACAGATCGTCCATCAACATCATGTGAAAATACATACATGTAAGAGTTCGGCCTCAAAAAATTCATATTGAAAAATCGACATCAAAAAGGATGATTTATGTGCGAAGGATTTTTGTATTGGTGGGAAATTTTAAAAAGAAACGTTACTTTTGTGTTGAACGAAGATAATTTTAAACATTTTTTTTTTTTTTTTTTTTTGCAGTTTCACCCGTTACTTTTGTTACCGTGATTCAGGACACGTGATCATGGTTGATCTACGAGGGGTTATCAAAAAGTTCGTGGACTAGCGCCATAAACTTAAAACCGCTCAAGCTACATCAATGATTTTTGAAATATCTAGTTAGCATCATCTTTTTCATCCAAAGATTAAACCACAAATCATAAATTCTATTTTTTAATAAATTAGTAATGATTTTGTAAGCAATGGTATGTCCAGGCGGCGCAACCTCGAAAACGGCGTTTTTTCGACCTATTTGTAACTGAGAAAAACTCATTTGATATGATTATTTGACATCCAAAAATCCCGTTGATTCAGGTATGTGTCGGGACACAATTGTTCTATAAAATATGAAATTTTCACTTCATTCTGGAAGTTCTATGAAATTTTATCGTAAATTTTACACGGAATGTCCAAACAAATGAGGCCTTGAAAATGACGTCAAAGGGGTGAGGGGTTTCCGTTTCCAACATTCTATTAAGTTTTGCCTCTGAAAAAAATAGTATAGACCTAAAATATGTTGAAACTGGCTACAGAGAAATAATATGCATCCAGAGTACTTGTCTTTTTAATGTCAAAATAGATTCAGAGAGTAAAGGGATACACAGTTAATGTCGATTTGCAGTCAAGGTGTGAAAAATCAATCCCGTCAAAAATGACGTTGATCATGTGTTGTAGATATTGAGCTCCCAAAAGCAAAATATGCCGGCACAATCAAGCAGATCTCTCCCAATATATCAATCCATCTGGAATATTATATTCACTGAAGGCCACTGTCCATGACATTCTAAAGTCATATAAACAAGGCGGGTTTAATTCCTTTCTCAGCTCCAGGGAATCTCATAAAAAGAGTGTATGAGGTAGAAGAAGAGGACATTTAAAAAACAATGACGTTATCGGACGTCATGAAAATAAACGACGACAGCGCCGGGTGATCATATAATGTCGTTTTCATTTTATAATAATTTGGCAAATAATGAACGTATCAGGCTAAAATTTCCAACATTTCTTTATTTTGTGTCGTTTTATGTTCCATCTAAATTTTGAAAGCACAGACTACATAGTACTAATTTTACAGCCTCAGTCCACGAACTTTTTGATAACTCCTCGTATATTAGGAGGAATGTTAAACCTTGCACACTTTGGTTTCATCATTGAAAGGTCGATATTACATATAGCTCTTAATTATTTTATACGAGTCTTTTGCATTTCTTTTTAAAAATGATATATTGCAAATAAGATACTTTATGGTCTAAAATCTGCTGTTAATAAAGACATAATATAAATATGCCTAATAAAAATATAAAAGAAGACTGGGTAGACATTTTAATTTTACATAAAAAATATTTATGAAAATAAAACAATTTATTTGTGAATAGTATTTTAAATCTATGGATAAAAAACGTTTAGAGCTTTCTTTTGAACGTTTGTTGTCGCATAATGTCACACTCCTATTATAGGAAAGTAAATAAGAGGCCCATGGGACACAATACTCACCTGAGTAACTATGCCAAGCTATTCCTAAACAAAAAAAGTTGTATGCTTCCTAGCCTTATGGGTCATAAATTTAACAAACTTAAATCTTCACTATCTAAGGATGTTCAGATAGAGATTTAACTAATCATGGTTTGTTGTTTTTGAGAAGAAAATATTGATTTTTTTATGTGTCTAAAACTGATTATCAAAGATGAAATAACCTTAAAAGCAGGAATCACTAGTTGAATTATTTGTTTGTAAATGAATAAAATGAGAGCATGGAGATATTATGTTAGTAGAAAGAATTAATTTAATGAACATATTATTCTTCATCCGTGAAACCTTTGGCGAAAACCAGAAGTCTCTGTCGAGACTGAAGCTCTACTGGTTTGTACTTATAGCGAAGGAAAAGAAAAGTACTTAAGCAGTTTGGAATTGCAACTTTACAACAGCAATAAATAGAATAATGATCCTTGATTAAGTGTCTTTATGAACTTAGTGTAGTCTATTTGTGTGCAAAGTTATATTGAAATCAGACCAAAACTGTAGGAGATACAGCATTTTGAAAGAATTTCACAGAAATTTCTAATTTTAGTTACAACAGCATCACCTTTCATCGAAATCAAAAACCGATACATAGAATTATGTATCTTAGTGTAGTTTACTTGTGTACTAAGTTATATTGAAATCAGACCAAAACTGTAGGAGACATAGCATTTTGAAAGAATTTCACAGAAATTTCTATTTTTAGTTACAACAGCAACACCGTTCATCGAAATCAAAAACCGATACATAGATTTATATATCTTAGTGTAGTTTACTTGTTTACTAAGTTATACTGAAACAGACCAAAACTGTAAAAGACGTAGCATTTTGAAAGAATTTCACAGAAACTTCTAATTTTAGTAACCACGGCAACAATGTCCATCGAAATCAAAAACCGATACACAGAATTATGTACTTAATGTAGTCTACTTGCTTGTGTGCCAAGTTATATTGAAATGCAGACCAAAACTGTAGGAGGAGTAGCATTTTGAAAGAATTTCACGGATTTTTTTCTATTTTTAGTAACAACAGTAATACCGTTCATCGAAATACAGAATTATGTATCTTAGTGTAGTCTACGTGTTTGCCAAGTTATATTGAAATCAGACTAAAACTGTAGGAAGAGTAGCATTTTGAAACAATTTCACAGAAATTTCTATTTTTAGTAACTACGGCAGCACCGTTCACCGTAATAAAAAACTGATACATACAATTATGTATCTTAGTATAGTCTACTTGTGTGCCAAGTTATATTGAAATAAGTTTAAAACTGTAGGAAGAGTAGAATTTTTGAAGAATTTCACAGAAATTACTATTTTTAGTAACCACGGCAATCCGTTCATCGAAATCAAAAACCGATATAAAGAATCATGTATCCTAGTGTAGTGTACTTGAGTGCCAAGTTATATTGAAATCAGACCAAAACTGTAGGAGGAGTAGCATTTTGAAAAATGGTTTACAGACAGACAGACAGACGGACGGACGCCAGACGCATTACTATCGCATAAGCTCTTCTGGTCTCTGACCAGTAGAGCTAAAAATAATTGTGTTATCAGAGCTAGTAGAAAATTAGCATTTTTCAAGCGTAAATGTTGTAAGGTACATGTAAAAATACATTTCCAGTACATGACTGATACTGTACAATTATTTGTGCCTGAACTGAGACGTGCAATTTTCTGTTTACAGTACCTAGATCTTTATTCCGTGGTCACTTCCTAACCACGCATCACTGAATAATATACCTGATACCAGATTATTTAAATAAAAAAAGAATAATTTTACTATTAGGCTCATTTCTGTCCGAGAAAATATTTTTTTAACTCGTTATAACGATATTATTTTTTTTTTCATTTCTTAATACAAACAAACAGTGAAACATATATAACACACAAATTACATTACAAACAATATGACAATATTACCTTAAGATAATTGATACTGAAATATTTTATGCAAAATTTTTAAAAAGTTTGTAGTCAATAGAGTTCAATTTTTTTTAGAATGGAAGCATAGAAAAAAAATGAAGATTCAACGTGGTTAAAAATGTTATTAATAATAACTAGTTTCATCTAAGGAATTTAGTCGACAGTACATCTTAACGATAGTATTTGACTTTTTTTTGGGAGGAGTATTACAGGGAAAAAAGTAATTATTTTGTAGAGAAATTGGTGCTTTGAGTTAATTCTGTATATATTGTTTTATCGACCGTTCAACAGAGCGAAAGTTTAATGTCGCTTGTGGCATAGATTTTTATCTCCTTGGTTTTGAGCATGATATTTCTTTTCGATCGTTATCTTTACATGTCGCGTTTATATTTGGAACGGACATGAGTGCTCGTCGCAGAATCAAACGAAAATTGTAATTATATTGTGATTCTTGTGGTTCTTTATATTAAAGAAGAGTGTCAAAAATAGAAAGGGCAAGATTTCAATTGATAGACATTATTTTTAGCCTGCTCGATCTTTTAAACACATTTAATCAGTATTTTTTTTTATTGTAAACATATTACGTCCTAAGGTAATATGTGATATTGTTATACCTTTAAAAAAAATGTTCCTATACAAATCAATACGAAAAAGTCTAACATTTTTTAATGTTTTGCTGAGCGGGCACAAAAAAATGATGTTGGGCCGCTGAGTGAGATGTTGGACCGCTCGGAGATATGTTGGGCCGCTTACGTCACAGAATGGGCGGAGCTTAATCTCATTTTCATTCGTTGGTGTTAAACAGTGACAGACCTGATGTTACATCACGGAAAACAGTACAAAATACATGTATGTCCAAAAAAAAAATTAAAATGAAAGGTATAACAAAACATTTATTGACAGAGTTCTCAGGCAAAATGCGTTTTGTCGGACCTTCGAACCAAACTGTCTGCCTTCGGCCTAATGGCCTCAGGCGGTCAGTTTGGTTCTTGGGTCCGAAAAACGCATGTTGCCCTCGAACTCAGTCAATAAATGTATATTACATAAAATGTAATATATTGTGAAAATTTCTGGGAATTTCCGCATTTTTCAGCTTAGATTTTTGGCA